TGATTAATGGCCTTGTACAACTCATTCAGAGCAATCTTAATGCCACCATTGGTTTGTGGTGGTAAATAGACAGCTATGAAAAATATAGATGAAAACTCTCTTGGTAAATAGTGTGGTCTACAGCTTATCATAAGATACTCTACCTCAGGCGAGCAAAACCTCGAGACTTCCTTAGTATTTGATTTTGTGCACCAGCTGTTGTTTACAAATATACACAGACCGCCGCCCCTTGTCTTACCAGAGTCAGACGTTCTGTCCTGCCGATGTAGAGTATAGCCTGCTAGCTGAATGTTATCATTGTTGTCGTTCAGCCACGACTCCGTGAAACATAAGATATTACAGTTTTTAATGTCCCGTTGGTAGGATAACCGTAATCTTAACTCGTCCATTTTATTCTCAAAAGATTGAACGTTGGCTAGTAGGATTGATGGGAGAGGCAGTTTACTCGCTCGCCGTCGGATCCTTACAAGGCACCCGGATCTGCGTCCGCGATATCTCCGTCTCTTCCTCACGCGAATGACGGGGATCTGGGCCTTGTCGGGTGTCTGTAGGATATCCTTCGCGACCGCCTCGTTGAAGAAAAAATCTTCGTCCAATGCGAGGTGAGTAATCGCTGTCCTGATATCCAGAAGCTCTTTTTGGTTATAAGAGACGATGGCAGAAACATTATGTACAAAATAAATTACAAATAACGCGGAAAAACACACATAATAGTACAATTGGTTAGAGGGCTGTAAAACGGCAGCCATCTTCCCGGCGCTGTTCTTCTAAATTTGTTTATTTTAATTAACAGTCAATTACCGTGAGACCGGCAGTTATTTGCTTGCCAAAAATGGTGTTGTTCAAGGTACATTTATATTTGTGTTTCTGACATCTGGGGTTTTTCTGGAAAATCATGATTTTAGTTTTTTTGAAATTTACTGCCAGGGCCCAATTATGGCAATATTACTCGAGAATGTTAAGGTTCTGTTGAAGACCTTCTTTGGTTGGTGATAGAATAACCAAATCATCAGCATATAGCAGGTATTTTACCTCTGTGTCAAATAGTGCCTTTTGATGGCATAGAAGGCCCTTCTTGCCTTGTCTCTCAGATCGTTCACAGCTTTGTGGAAGTTAACTGTGGCGCTGATGTTTAGGCTGAGGTATGTATAGTGTTTTGTGTGCTCTAGGGCAGGGTTTCCTAAACTCGGTCCTTTCTCTTGTTGAATTTGTCTCACCACAGTCCAGAGTGCAGACATGTTTCTCTCTACCTCCAGCTCTCCGGGTCTGGTTGAGGGGGTGTTGTTGTGCTGGACTATTATGTGTGCTGACTGGCATGTGTTCACCTGCTGTTCCAGCTCCACCTGCCTTACCTCCAGCTGGGTGAATTTATCCTTCACTTCAGTGAGGGAGTAGTGCTCTGTGCTGGGAGGTTGACTTTCTACTTGGGGTTGCTCGTCTGTGGGGTTGTTTAATGAAGAGGTCTGGTTTGACTCTCACGGGGTAGGGGAGTCTTTCTCAAGAGAGAGCTTCTCCTGCTGTGCTCCCTCTTTGATTCTGTGAAAGTCCAGCTGAATTTTTTTGTTTGTTGGGGGGGTAGATCAGCTTTAATATTGCTGATAGATTGTTGCTTCCATCAATGTAATTGTCTGCCTCATTTCCAATCCCCCATATATATTTTTTGTAAATAGATATATATATATACACTACCGGTCAAAAGTTTTAGAACACCAACTCATTCATGTGTTTTTCTTTATTTCTACATTGTAGTGAAGACATCAAAACTATGAAATAACACATATGGAATCATGTAGTAACCAAAAACGTGTTAAACAAATCAAAATATATTTTATATTTGAGATTCTTCAAAGTAGCCACCCTTTGCCTTGATGACAGCTTTGCACACTCTTGGCATTCTCTCAAACAGCTTCACCTGGAATGCTTTTCCAACAGTCTTGAAGGAGTTCCCACATATACTGAGCACTTGTTGGCTGCTTTTCCTTCACTCTGCCATCCGACTCATCTCAAACCATCTCAATTGGGTTGAGGTCGGGGGATTGTGGAGGCCAGGTCATCTGATGCAGCACTCCATCGCTCTCCTACTTGGTAAAATAGCCCTTACACAGCCTGGAGGTGTAATGGGTCATTGTCCTGTTGAAAAACAAATGATAGTCCCACTAAGCCCAAACCAGATGGGATGGTGTATCGATGCAGAATGCTGTGGTAGCCATGCTGGTTAAGCGTGCCTTGAATTCTAAATAAATCACCGACATTGTCACCAGAAAAGCACCCCCACACCATAACACCTCCTCCTCCATGCTTTATGGTGGGAAATACACATGCAGAGATCATCCGTTCACCAACACCGCGTCTCACAAAGACACGGCGGTTTGAACCAAAAATTTCCAATTTGGATTTCCACCGGTCTAATGTCCATTGCTCGTGTTTTTTGGCCCAAGTAGGTCTCTTCTTATTATTGGTGTCCTTTAGTAGTGGTTTCTTTGCAGCAATTCGACCATGATTCACACAGTCCCCTCTTAACAGTTGATGTTGAGATGTATCTTGAACTCTGTGAAGCATTTATTTGGACTGCAATTTCTGAGGCTGGTAAATCTAATGAACTTATCCTCTGCAGCAGAAGTAACTCTGGGTCTTCCTTTCCTGTGGCGGTCCTCATGAGAGCCAGTTTCATCATAGCGCTTGATGGTTTTTGCGACTGCACTTAAATAAACTTTAAAAGTACTTGAAATGTTCTGTATTGACTGACCTTCATGTCTTAAAGTAATGATGGACTTGGTCTTTTTTCAAAATAGGGCTATATTTTGTATACCCCCCTACCTTGTCACAACACAACTGATTGGCTCAAACCAATTAAGAAGGAAATAAATTCCACAAATTAACTTTTAAGAAGACACACCTGTAAAAATAAAGAAAAACCCTTAAATGAGTAGGTGTGTCCAACCTTTTGACTGGTAGTGTACATAGGAGTGATTAAAACATGCTAATAACGGTCCTCTGAGTATATAAAAAAAAAAGTTTGGTATGTAAGTCGCTCTGGATAAGAGCGTCTGCTAAATGACTTAAATGTAAATGATACCTCCACTGGTATGCCATCCAGCCCTAGAGTTTTCCCGGACTTAAAGGCTTTAATTGCATCAAAAAGTTCCTCCTCTGTAATTTGACCTTCACATTAGTCTTTCTGTACAGCTGAAACTTTTTTGGGTTGTCCTGTACCAATACTGTTCCAGACTTGTACAGTTGACATTGGCTGACTTAGCGACTGACCCCCCCTCCTCATAGCACTGCGCCATGCCAGGGGATGGTCTGTGTGGAAGATTAAGTTGATTACGTTCCCATTTTTGCAGCAGTCAGCAAAAAGTGTCTCTGGCTTGTCCACGAGGAGCTTCTCTTTGTACTCTTTCCGTGCCTTCAAATATTTTACATCCAGGGGGTACTGTATTGTAATTACAGGGAGGAGGCTTCAAAGGCCTCTGCATTTGGGTGGGGGAGGCTGTGAAACTATCCTGCCATTGTTGGGCTCAAGGGCTTTGAAACCTCACTTCACACCTCAGTGCTAATTGAAGTTGCAGCCAGATCTGTTCTGTCCTAGTAAGCTTGGTAGCCTTAACATAGCATTCAGTCCTTTAATTAATAAAATTTAATTAATTATTGTAATGTATTTTTCTTCTTGGCTTTAAAAGTAGTTTCAGACTAAATATTACTCACTTATTTCCAGGTTGGATGGTATTTTCAGGTTTCTGTTGTGCTTCTTTTGCTGGTCGTTGGTTTGCCAGAGCATTTGCTGTATAGCCCTTGTGAATTAGAATCTTTGGTAGTAGGAATCTTTCCAGGTAATTTTGACCAAAATAAGGTTGTAGGTTTGGAGTTTTGATTTGGAGTGAAGGTTATGTTGTGGAGGGTAGTATCCTGTATATGTCCTTGTGGAAAAATCCAAGTTTATCAAACTATAAATTCAGGAGCTCATCTGCTCACGACCTCTCTCTCTCTCTCTCTCTCTCTCTCTCTCTCTCTCTCTCTCTCTCTCTCTCTCTCTCTGTGTCTCTCTCTGTCTCTCTCTGTCTCTCTCTCTATCTCAAAGCGGCGGCGGCAGAGATCAGGATCAACGTGACCAATGAGCATTCTCAGTCCACCTTCAACATCCTGTCTCACAGGAAGGACCAGCCATCCATGTATGAACAGCTCCGGGACATCTCCATCAACAACATCTGCAGGTATACACACACACGGTGCACTCAAACATCTTACCCACTGTGTGATTCTAGCTTAAAATATACTCATTCATGTTACCATACTAGAACTTATTAATTACTTTACATGTATAAGGAATGTACATGTTGGGGTCAATGGAGGGTGGATAAGAACTAGGTGTATGGAAAGTTACTGAGTGAGAAAGTTTACATTCTGTCAAAATATGGTATTGTTAAATCTCATGTCTCCTAAGGAGGGAGGCAAAGGGCAACAATCTGGTTTCAGTCACTGATAAGGTAGGACAGCTGTGGATTAGGGAGGAGAGAGGAATTCGGCCCGAGGTCAGGTCAGATGAAGTGAGAAGGAACAGTCCTATCCCTCACACACATATTTCCACGCCCCCACAAAGGTTCTAGCTTGAGGCAGGGCCATGACTACACCAGTGAGAGGAACCAATTAAGTTCCTGCCTAGCAACAGAGATGTATTGGCTGTCTAGATGTGCAAGGAGTTGACTCCGCCTAGTAGTAGGGTATAAATATATGTGCTTGTGTAAACATGTCTTTGTCTTTGCAGCTGTTTGACCCAGTGGGTGAATAAACTTGGTTTGAGCTTTTCCTAGTCATCCGTTTGAGTTTTTACTCTGTTTGTTCAGAAGCTAACACCACATAGGCGTAGGGTGAAGTTGCCCCTAGACACTGATCTTGTATCTAGGGGAAACTTGACCCTGTAGTGCCCACATACATCTGGGAGGCCAGGCACCCTTCCGTCGAAGACTAATAGCGTTAACAACCTAACTCCCTCTCTATCTCAGGTGTTTGAAGGCAGGGTTGACTATGGACCCAGTCATTGTAGAGGCTTTCCTGGCCAGCCTGTCCAACCGTCTCTACATCTCCCAGGAGAATGACAAGTAAGACACATTTGTGTGTTTTCTATTTTAACATGATGATGATAATGATGGGGGTATGATGACGAGACCCCTTATTGCCCCTTTTACTAGTGATACCTCTACTTCCCATGATTGACAGCCACTCTAACCAATCCAGTGTCTCTCTTGCCCCCTTTTACTAATGATAACACTACCCATGAATGATTGACATCCACTCTGATCAATCTGGTGTCTTTCTCTTTCTCCCAGAGAGGCCCACCTGATCCCGGACCACACCATCAGGGCACTGGGTCACATCGCGGTGGCTCTGAGGGACACTCCCCGAGTCATGGAGCCCATCCTGCAGATCCTGCAGCAGAAGTTCTGCCAGCCGCCCTCCCAGCTCGATGTGCTCATCATAGACCAACTGGGCTGCATGGTCATCACAGGCAATGTGAGTTGTCCACGCACGCACACACTCACACGCAAACGTATTCCCCCCTCAGTGAATTCACCCCATTTTCTATAAAATATATTGTAAATTGTATTGAAATTGTAAAGTATTTTTGTCTGAAATGCATTTTTCGTTATGTCTGACCCCAAGCATTTCACTTCACCTGCAATAACATCTGCTAAATATGTGTATGTGACGAATAACATTTGATTTGATATGATTTGAGGAAGATCTAAATTCACCTCCCCCCTCTCTCTGTGCCTCTCTCTCTCTCCTCAGCAATACATCTACCAGGAAGTTTGGAACCTGTTCCAGCAGATCAGTGTGAAAGCCAGCTCAGTGGTGTACTCCGCCACTAAGGACTACAGAGACCATGGATACAGGTGGGGTTTTCCTCCAGGACTACAAATACCATCATGGGTGTCAAAAGGGCTACATATGATGTTATCTTTCATGAAGTATTGAAATGACAAAGTTGTGTGTGCGGTGTTTGTGTATACTGCAGACACTGCTCCCTGGCTGTGATCAATGCTCTGGCCAATATCGCGGTCAACCTCCAACAGGGGGAGCTACTTATCGATGAGCTAATGGTCAATCTGCTGGAGCTGTTTGTCCAGCTGGGACTGGAGGGCAAGAGAGCCAGCGAGAGGGCCTCAGACAAGGGCCCTGCGTTGAAGGTACACGGACGCCCATGCACCCAGACATACACGCATGTGCACTAATAACAACAGTGTCTTAGAGTGACTTTCCCTGCTCCCTCCTCTAGGCATCCAGCAGTGCAGGCAACCTTGGGGTCCTTATCCCAGTCATCGCTGTGGTAAGTACCTTATGCTGTCTGTTCAAAGTGTCTTCCCATTTTACCTGATTTCCTGACTTGAACCATTGGCACTCCAATCACTCATTGGTAGTCAGATAGGCATCAAAATTGTGTGAGTAGCTGAACTAAAGCACTTAAAAGGAAAGGACGTGTGTGTGTGTGTGTGTGTGTGTGTGTGTGTGTGTGTGATGGATCTGATGGTATCACATACCAACCCGAATAGATCTGAGCTCTATCTAGTTAGTTTAACTCTGCCAACAAATATTTACTCTACTTGCAAAATATGTCACTGGGTTTTTATCTTGGAGCTTTTGTTTTCAAGCCTGGCTGAGGCGTGACCCAAGTGACTACACAGTCAAGGATATAGAGATGCTGGTGTTAGCAATACTTTTAGTTTTCACCCTTTATCAAATAAAATAAAATGTTATTGGTCACGTACACATATTTAGAAGATGTTATCGCGGGTGTAGCGAAATGATTATGTTCCTAGCTCCAACAGTGCAGTAATATTTAACAATACAAAACAATATACCCAAATCCAAAAAATCCAAAGAAAGGAAATTAGAAATATTAGAACGAACAATGTCAGAAAGTAATTACACACCTTGACTTTTTCCACATTTTGTTGTGTTACAGCCTGAATTTAACATGTGACTCAATGCCTCGATTTGGTCTTATGTAGCAACATTTGAAATGGTGTTTTTTTTACATTGGATAAAAGTAGAGACTCCGAGCTAGACAATGGTATATCATAAACTGCAGTTGAGGAACAATTGGAAAGTAATTCTGCTTTGAAAGTTGATAAACTTACTACTGGAGAGCTCTTCTTTGTCTACACCCATTCCCATCTCTTTAGGATTCACATGTGAGGCCATGTGCTAAACAGAGTGAGTGGTGTAGTAAACAATCAAAGATTAAGACTAAAAGTAGTAGCCTACAATAAGGAAAAACTCCAGGTAGAAATACACTTTATCTAGTCTTTGGGCTATATCTGACTTTGGTGCAGGTCATGTTGTTCTTCACATTACCATTTCTGGTAAACACAAAATAAAAAGTTGATTTGTCACATGCACAAGATACAGAAGGTGTAAATGGTACAGTGAAATGGTTACTTGCATATTTGCATAGTAGCAATATCAAAAACAGAAAGTGTCCAGATACAAATATTTTATAAATATTAGATGATGCTTACCCAGACACACTAAATTGATGGGTCATGTGAAAGAAATGCTATAACCCCCAGCCACATCTTGCTAAGTGGATGGGTCTCTACAGAAGGTGTAAACGGTACAGTGAAATGGTTATTTGCATGGTAGCAAAACCATCAAGCGCTATGATGGAACTGGCTGTCATGAGGACTGTCACAGGAAAGGAAGACCCAGAGTTACCTCTGCTGCAGAGGATACGTTCATTAGAGTTAACTGCACCTCAGATTGCAACCCAAGTAAATGCTTCACAGAGTTCAAGTAACAGACACATCTCAACATCAGCTGTTCAGAGGAGACTGCGTGAATCAGGCCTTCGTGGTCGAATTGCTGCAAAGAAACCACTACTAAAGGACACCAATAATAAGAAGAGACTTGCTTGTGCCAAGAAACACGAGCAATGGACATTAGACCGGTGGAAATCTGTCCTTTGGTCTGATGAGTCCAAATTTGAGATTTCTGGTTCCAACCACAGTGTCTTTGTGAGACGCAGAGTAGGTCAACGGATGATCTCTGCATGTGTGGTTCCCACCGTGAAGCATGTAGGAGGAGGTGTGATGGTGTGGGGGTGCTTTGCTGGTGACACCTATTTTGATTTCAAGGCACACTTAACCAGCATGGCTACCACAGAATTCTGCAGCAATACGCCATCCCATCTGGTTTGCGCTTCGTGGGACTATCATTTGTTTTTCAACAGGACAATGACCCAACACACCTCCAGGCTGTGTAAGGGCTATTTGACCAAGAAGGAGAGTGATGGAGTGCTGCATCAGATGACCTGGCCTCCACAATCCCCCGACCTCAACCCAATTGAGATGGTTTGGGATGAGTTGGACAGCAGAGTGAAGGAAAAGCAGCCAACAAGTGCTCAGCATATGTGGGAACTCCTTCAAGACTGTTGGAAAAGCATTCCTCATTAAGCTGGTTGAGAGAATGCCAAGAGTGTGCAAAGCTGTCATCAAGGCAAAGGGTGGCTATTTGAAGAATCTCAAATATAAAATATATTTTGATTTGTTTAACACTTTTTTGGTTACTACATGATTCCATATGTGTTATTTCATAGTTTTGATGTTTTCACTATTAGAAAAATAAAGAAAAACCCTTAAATGAGTAGGCATGTCTAAACTTTTGACTGGTACTGTATGTCAGAGTGGTTAGAGGAACTATCGAGTACCAGGCCATTAGGACCTGATGGTCTTTAACAAGTTGGATACTACCAAAAACATGTCCAGAGTGCATAAGAGGAGATTACCATGACTCAACAGTCACTGTCGGTGTGGTGAGTCCCCTGTATCTCAGTTGGTAGAGCATGGCGCTTGCAGCGCCAGGGTTGTGGGTTTGTTTCCCACGGGGGGCCAGTATGAAAATGTATGCACTCACTAACTGTAAGTCGCTCTGGATAAAAGCATCTGCTAAATGACTAAAATGTAAAAAATGCTAATACTGTTACCTCAACAGCCTTAGATGTGGTCCTTGATGATCTTCGTGGCCTTATTGTAACACCGGGTGCTGTAGATATCCTGGAGGGCAGGGCAGGCAGTGTGCCCCCCCATTTATTGGAAAGCTGACTGTATTTGTAAGATTTCTGTATCTTGATTTAGATTAGTTTTTTATATTGCAGATTTTTTGTTGTTGTTGAGTGGTCCACAAACAGACACAGACACAAACACAACGTGACACACACACACACACACACACACACACACACACACACACACACACACAGAAAACATGTTTTGCGCTGGTATTTTAACTTGTAAAGCCCCTTTAATGTATGTCATACAACACAAAATTATTTTCAAACGTCTCTTAATGGTTTTGCATATCATTTTAGCTAACCTTCTAGACAGAACTTCACATACACTTCAGAACATCTAAACAAAAAAATGTTACAAAATGTCCAATCTTTTTAAGTCATGGTCAAATGGACTAATTTATTTTCTCTAAAATGTTTCTTGATTAGCCAAAGCAGTCACAACATTGCATCAATGTGGTCACGGCGATAAATTATCAGAGTTTCTAGTCGAACAGCCTCCACTGTAAATATAGGGAGAGATGGAACATTAACAGACAGCAAATAACAAACACTCCTAACTGACCTCTCCCTCAGACACCGGTTAGGAGTCCCATTGTAGGATCAGCAGGATTGGTTAAAAGGCAAATATTCTTGAAATGGCTTCCTACTTTGGGTAGATGCTTGCTGGAAAAGGACATTAATTAGTGGCCAGGTAAACAAAACCAAAACGTGGATTTCTGTCCATAGACTGCTTACAGGGTAAAGAAACCAATATGTAAATGTATAATTTGGGTGAACTATCCCTATAAGATACAGCGTTACCAAGCTTTTAGCTCTGTGAGGGGTCGACCACGCGGCCCATGAACACAAGGCAGTCTGTGCGGTGCTCGTAGATGAGGAAGAGGAAGGGACGGTCGATGATGAAGCGGATCTGGGAGGAGAGGGGCATGAAGCCCACTTGGGTCAGAGCCGCAGCCTCTGTCCCCTCCTCGTTCACGGTGATCGTCCCCTGGTGCTTCAACTGGTGGGGAGGGGAGAAAAAGAAAGAGAACATAGTTCAGAACCTTGTCTTGACCCAGTCATATTTAAACATTATTAGATAGCCAAAACTTATTTGACTTTGATGGTGTATTGATGTTATTAGCATAGAGTAAATTAAAGTGAAAATGGTGGCACTTGTCAGGTGGGACTCTACTCTAGAAGGTAGATTTACCCAGTTAATAGTGATCTTCTCGGAAGTCATCCCAGTGAAGTCGCCCTTCTCCTCAAACAGGTCTGTGAGGCCCATCTCCTTCAGGTTGTCTATCAGGTCATAACTCTGCTCCAGCTTAAACTTGGGAAACACAACCTCACGCGTCCTGTGGGAGAAACCAATACAGAATATAATATTTTAGACCCATATCTCTTATCCCATAACTCCGATCATTTGTTAGTTATGTTTTGGCCCTATACTCTAACCTAGTGGTAATCTTACCTGTGTTCTTTCCTGTTCACCTTGTGTAGTCAGTTGTTCTTACCTGGGGGCCAGGTCTGCTCACTTGCCGGTCAAGTATTGTCAGGAGTGGTCACCTATTGTCTTGTATGGTCATGTGTGCTCATGTCTTTTATCAAGTCTGCCTGTCCGTCAATCATGTTTTCTTACCTTTTGGACAGGTGTGACCAGGTGTGGTCATTATGTTCTGAACTGTAGTTCAGGTGTGACCAGGTGTGGTCATAATATGGTCTCACCTGTTGGTCATGTTACTTAGCCACTTGTTGACCACAGTGGGGGAGATCTCTTGCTCCAGGTTCCTCATGCCAGAGATCTTCCTGGGCAGGGCGATGAGCATGCTGATGTTCCCGGCGTATGGTAGCTAGAATAGCAATAATCATGGTTTGATTCATGTAGACTACAATAGTGCTTTTCCAGTTTTCAAATGTCTTTACATTGGAAAGGCTAGAACATTGTTTCACAGCAACTTTTGATCCTTTAGGGGCATCATCTGACTTGGAAGCATACCGTAGGCCTATATCGCAGTGCACTAAATCTTCTTTATTTTCTAACCCACTTCCCCCAACTAAATGTCTACCACCCACCTGTAAGATGTCACACTGTAGTTCGTGGTCTGCAGCCGCCAGGTAGTTCCCTTTGTTCTGCATCATTGGCACTCGAACATTTGTCTTCTCATTCACACGGAAGTTCCGGTAGTGAGTCATCTCCTTTGGGAATTTCTGCTGCCATGTACCTGTTTGTGTGGGTGAGATCGACTGGCTTGTGTCAAGAAGTTGTTTCTCAACTGGTTTACAAAGAGAGGATTTGAAGCTGGTCGTTAAAATGTAATGGAAATGTAATATAGCCCATAATATATCAACTTTAAAATCTAATCTGAGGCTAGACAGAAAGATACTTGAACCTTGGTCCATAGAAATGGCATAGTTGAGGCTTATTTCTCTGATGTTGTACATACCTTTAAAATAGAGGTAGTTGAGTAGCATCAGCACCATATTGGGGTCCACACTCTTCAGTGGTTCTTTGATCAGTCCTTTGGTCAGCTTCGAGATGCGCCAGTTGGCCTTGTCCAGAAACGCCTTGTCCCCGAAGTCCACCGACTGGGGCTCCGCAAAATAGTATGCCTTGGTATTTGCCCGGAAACTTGGTTCCACCGCCACCTCTTTTTTCACGTACAGGTCATTAACGGATCGCAATGTGTATCCGAAGTTCCGTCGGAAGAGTCTGTGCGTAATCTTCCGGAACAGCTTGTGTACGGTAACGTTGTCGTAGTGATGGCTGGCGTTGACGAATTCGGCAAATCCCAGCGTCCGGTAAAGCTGCGCATGTGTTCTGGGCCCCGCTCCCAGTGACATCATTCCCATGGCGATGGAGATTCCGGCGGGCGCCAGCAGAATGTTGTCAGTCTGATTGACTTCGTTCCGAAGGCTACGGTAGAGTTTGAAACCAAAGTGGGCGTTGACCAAATTGATTCGTTGGAGGCGCGAGCGGCCGTGGAATAGGCGTAGGAGTCTGGCTCGCCGTGTCTTTGGGTCTGAGGGTTCAGCGAAGATGTCGATATCTGGAGCGGGAGTTGCGATCTCATCAATTGTATCCCCTTCACTGTAATAATATAAATATTATGAAACTAGCAGAAGTTTTTATTCCAAAATGATTTACACAGTCAACACTCTGTAATTGTGGAATCAAACCCACAAGCATGCACCATGCTCCAGCCAACTGTGCCACTTCAATCAATGGATGTCTACAGAGCATGTCTACAGAGCTTCCCAGTGCTCAAATCACTTGACATTGTTAGAGGATGAGTACAATGTATATCACCCACCTGTAGTCATCCCCCCCTTCGGCCAGGATCTTGTCAAAGTCAATGTAGTCTTCGTCCTCGTAGCCTTCCAGGGGCAGATCGTTGGTCACAGTGTTCTCTTTGTGGAACTCCAGAGGAATGTTCTCCATGTCCAGAGCTCCACCCTGGCCAAGGCCTCGTGGGTCTGGCTTAGTATTTGGGGTCGGACTCTGGTCATAGAAGCTGAAGTGAGAGCCCAGGTCCTTGACCCCGGCCAGAGAGGTACCGACGAGGAGACAGGACACAGCGATGACCGTGACGACCCACATCCTTACACCGACATGACATAGAAGGCATTTATTAATCTAGAACAAACCACCTGACTAGAAGCCACCAGTGTTTCTAGTCAGGACTGAGTCTTAAGCCACGACACAACAGGAATCATCCACGACCCACCATTTTGGGAAATACTGACCTAAGGCATTTATCAAGCACAAATAGCCATGGTCAATATCAACATGCTTTGCCTTCTTTTGGCTGAATACCGAAGACAACAGTTTCTCCATACAGCAAAGAACATCCAAACTTGTTATTAGACTTAAATTAACACTTTATTAACACCCTTTCCTATAGGTAATTTTATTCAGCAGTTCAAATCTCACAAACTTTTCTGCTCAATTTCAAAGGAAGTTTTCAGTTAATAAATAGTTTAAGCATGAACACGACAACGATAGTCAATATCTTGGTAGGTTTGACGACAGTAGGGGACTAAAATGGCTTACCTGTGCTTTCTCTGTGGTGGCTGGAACTTGTGTGTTTGGTCTGTTTGCAACACTGAAGAAAGAGCAGAAATACCAAACTGAACTTTGATGTCCTCTTCCTGAACAAATAACCCAGATCAAACAACAATGGGCACAAAGTCCCCACTGTATCTGTCTTTTTTTAAACTTGTTTGTCCATTTATCCAATTGATGTCAATAACATGGAAGCCGACATCAAATACTGTTTCACTGCCATGTTTAGATTATTATTGGTTACACAGTTTTAAGTGCTACATCATCAATATTGTAAAAATGTGCTATTTTGTGGAATAGTTTTTTTTATGGTTATGACATGCCCATGCATTGTTATTTTAGATTTTAGAATGCCATTGCAATCCAGATTCACTAGCCTTGATGGTTTTCAATCTCTGTCTCTCCCTCTGTCATCTGTTGTGCAAAGCCTATGGTCACATTATATTTGCATCCACCCTTCCTACTGTGCTCCCACTTTCCTGTCCCCCCCCCCCTCTGTTTCCAGGTGACTGAATAAAGTGTACAATTTTTTAAAAATCTTTCTCTCCCTTTACAGCTGACCAGACGGATGCCGCCAATCATTGAGGCTAAGCCCCGCCTTCAAAAGCTTTTCAGGGACTTCTGGCTGTACTCTGTGGTCATGGGCTTTGCCGTGGAGGGCTCGGGTCTATGGCCAGAGGAGTGGTATGAGGGAGTGTGTGAGATCGCCACCAAGTCTCCTCTCCTGACTTTCCCTAGCGGTGAACCACTCCGCTCCGAACTACAGTACAACTCTGCCCTGAAGAATGACACAGTCACACCGGTACACACAAAACACAGACACACAGACACACACACAAAGAACAACACAGTCAGGTGATCAATTCACCTAACCTAAATAATGCCACCTGTATCTTTATTGGAACTCTACTTGTCCAAGTCTAACTCTATCTGTCCCCATCCTGTACCTAGTTGTCCCTCTTCCTGTAAGTATTACTACCTGTCTGTCTGTCGTGCAGGCTGAGCTGAGTGATCTGCGATCCACCATCATCAACCTGTTGGACCCCTCCCCTGAAGGATCTGCTCTCATCAACAAACTAGACTTTGCCATGTCGACGTACCTACTGTCTGTCTACAGGCTGGAGTACATGAGGTGAGCTACCCCCTATATATCTATACCTGCTGCTGCTCTATTACCCATGTCCACCTACATGCTGTCTGTATACAGACCAGGGCCCATACAGTGGGGAAAAAAAGTATTTAGTCAGCCACCAATTGTGCAAGTTCTCCCACTTAAAAAGATGAGAGAGGCCTGTAATTTTCATCATAGGTACACGTCAACTATGACAGACAAATTTAGATTTTTTTTTCCAGAAAATCACATTGTAGGATTTTTAATGAATTTATTTGCAAATTATGGTGGAAAATAAGTATTTGGTCAATAACAAAAGTTTCTCAATACTTTGTTATATACCCTTTGTTGGCAATGACACAGGTCAAACGTTTGCTGTAAGTCTTCACAAGGTTTTCACACACTGTTGCTGGTATTTTGGCCCATTCCTCCATCCAGATCTCCTCTAGAGCAGTGATGTTTTGGGGCTGTCGCTGGGCAACACGGACTTTCAACTCCCTCCAAAGATTTTCTATGGGGTTGAGATCTGGAGACTGGCTAGGCCACTCCAGGACCTTGAAATGCTTCTTACGAAGCCACTCCTTTGTTGCCCGGGCGGTGTGTTTGCTGAAAGACCCAGCCACGTTTCATCTTCAATGCCCTTGCTGATGGAAGGAGGTTTTCACTCAAAATCTCACGATACATGGCCCCATTCATTCTTTCCTTTACACGGATCAGTCGTCCTGGTCCCTTTGCAGAAAAACAGCCCCAAAGCATGATGTTTCCACCCCCATGCTTCACAGTAGGTATGGTGTTCTTTGGATGCAACTCAGCATTCTTTGTCCTCCAAACACGACGAGTTGAGTTTTTACCAAAAAGTTCTATTTTGGTTTCATCTGACCATATGACATTCTCCCAATCCTCTTCTGGATCATCCAAATGCACTCTAGCAAACTTCAGACGGGCCTGGACATGTACTGGCTTAAGCAGGGGGACACGTCTGGCACTGCAGGATTTGAGTCCCTGGCGGCGTAGTGTGTTACTGATGGTAGGCTTTGTTACTTAGGTCCAGCTCTCTGCAGGTCATTCACTAGGTCCCCCCGTGTGGTTCTGGGATTTTTGCTCACCGTTCTTGTGATCATTTTGACCCCACGGGGTGAGATCTTGCGTGGAGCCCCAGATCGAGGGAGATTATCAGTGGTCTTGTATGTCTTCCATTTCCTAATAATTGCTCCCACAGTTGATTTCTTCAAACCAAGCTGCTTACCTATTGCAGATTCAGTCTTCCCAGCCTGGTGCAGGTCTACAATTTAGTTTCTGGTGTCCTTTGACAGCTCTTTGGTCTTGGCCATAGTGGAGTTTGGAGTGTGACTGTTTGAGGTTGTGGACAGGTGTCTTTTATACTGATAACAAGTTCAAACAGGTGCCATTAATACAGGTATCGAGTGGAGGACAGAGGAGCCTCTTAAAGAAGAAGTTACAGGTCTGTGAGAGCCAGAAATCTTGCTTGTTTGTAGGTGACCAAATACTTATTTTCCACCATAATTTGCAAATAAATTCATAAAAAATCCTACAATGTGATTTTGGGGATTTTTTTCTTCTCAATTTGTCTGTCATAGTTGACGTGTACCTATGATGAAAATGACAGGCCTCTCATCTTTTTAAGTGGGAGAGCTTGCACAATTGGTGGCTGACTAAATACTTTTTTCCCCACTGTATGTATCAAGCGTCTCAGAGTAGGAGTGCTGATTTGGGATCAGTTTTGGCTTTTGGATCATTATACGCATTGATTGTATGGAAAAGCAAGGACCTGAGCCTAGATCAGCACTCCCACTGTGGGACACTTGATACATACAGCACTTGAGGTTGGAGCAGCACCTATTTATGCACTCCTGGTTTATATTCCCCAACATTAGGGGACTCATACTGTTCTCGCTCTCTCTCTCGTTCTGTCTCAGGATGTTGCGTTCTAACGACGCAGACATATTCCAGGTGATGTTCCGGTACTTTGAGGACAAAGCCATCCAGAAGGACAAATCTGGTGGGCGTAACGTTGTATCTGCGTTTGAACTGCGTTGTAATGTTGTATATTGGTTGTATTTATGTATTTTTTTTTTCTGTTTCTGATTCAACGTCTCATCAGGTATGATGCAGTGTGTGATCTGTGTTGGTGATAAAATCTTCAATGTCTTCCTACAAATGATGGCTGAGAAGGTAGGCGTGCTCTTAATCACACATGCTGCTTTGGTTATGCTTTATTTTACCTCCCTGTTTAAAGTGGTATTTACATGGTATTTACTAAGAAATTGATACTTTCTGGTACTTACCTCAAATAATTTAACACCATTGGTAACAGGTACCAAATGGTACAAACCTACGCTTGTGCCAATGAATCTCAAAGAAACTACATTTTTATTGATTGAAAACTCTCTCAGCCCAAGACCAAAGAACACGAGGAGGAGTTGGAACGTCACGCCCAGTTCTTATTGGTCAACTTTAACCACACCCACAAGAGGATCCGCCGAGTGGCCGATAAATACCTCTCTGGATTGGCTGAAACGTAAGTAGGGCTCACTTAACTTCCTACATATACAGTTGAAGTCGGAAGTTTACATACACTTAGATTGGAGTCATTAAAACTCGTTTTTCAACCACTCCACAAATATCTTGTTAACAAACTATAGTTTAGGGAAGTCGGTTAGGACATCTACTTTGTGCATGACAAAAGTAATTTTTCCAACAATTGTTTACAGACAGATTATTTCACTTATAATTCACTGTATCACAATTCCAGTGGGTCAGAAGTTTACATACACTAAGTTGACTGTGCCTTTAAACAGCTTGGAACATTCCAGAAAATGATGTCATGGCTTTAGAAGCTTCTGATAGGCTAATTGACATAATTTGAGTCAATTGGAGGTGTACCTGTGGATGTATTTCAAGGCCTACCTTCAAACTCAGTGCCTCTTTGCTGTTTGGCCATAATGACCATTGTTATGTTTGGAGGAAAAAGGGGTATGCTTGCAAGCCGAAGAACACCAACCCAACCGTGAAGCACGGGGGTAGCAGCATCATGCTGTGGGGGTGCGTTGCTGCAGGAGGGACTGGTGCACTTCGCAAAATAGATGGCATCATGAGGAAGAAAAATAATGTGGATATATTGAAGCAACATCTCAAGACATCAGTCAGGAAATTAAAGCTTGGTTGCAAATGGGTCTTCCAAATGGACAATGACCCCAAGCATACTTCCAAAGTTGTGGCAAAATGGCTTAAGGACAACAAAGTCAAGGTATTGGAGTGGCCATCACAAAGCCCTGACCTCAATCCTATAGAACATTTGTGGGCAGAACTGAAAAAGCGTGTGCGAGCAAGGAGGCCTATAAACCTGACTCAGTTACACCAGCTCTGTCAGGAGGAATGGGCCAAAATTCACCCAACTTATTGTGGAAAGCTTGTGGAAGGCTACCCGGAACGTTTGACCCAAGTTAAACAATTTAAAGGCAATGCTATCAAATACTAATTGAGTGTATGTAAACTTCTGACCCACTGGGAATGTGATGAAAGAAAAAAAAACTGAAAGAAATAATTCTCTCTACTATTATTCTGACATTTCACATTCTTAAAATAAAGTGGTGATCCTAACTGACCTAAGATAGGGAATCTTTACTAGGATTAAATGTCAGGAATTGTGAAAAACAGAGTTTAAATGTATTTGGCTAAGGTGTATGTAAACTTCCGACTTAAACTGTACATAAGGTACTCTCATTTCTAAACATTAAAACAAATACAAGGTGACCTTCTATACTGTCGCCTCATATAAAACATTTGATCTCAAATCAAAAATGCTGGAGTAAAGAGCCAAATTAAGTTTTAGCTTCAATGTCCAAAAAAATACCTCTTTCAACCATACCAGTCTACAAGTCTTACCCTGTGTGCATATAGTGTCTCAGAGTAGGAGTGTTGATCTAGAATCAGGTCCTCCTAGTCCATTCATTCTAATAAAACATTTTACAAATTATCAGAAATCATCACTCATACTCTGAGATGCTTTATGAATAGGGGCACTGGTCTCCCGTCCAGGTGTCAGCCTGGCCCAACCCTCCTTAGTTTCAGTGAGCCAGTAAAGGGGTATAGGGTAGGATGGCTGCTGGACATAGTCTTAGGTCTACAATTCCCACTCTTGTTAAATGCATTCAATTATCGTTCATTCTCTCAGATTCCCCCACCTGCTGTGGAGTGGGCGCGTGTTGAAGACCATGTTGGACATCCTACAGACTCTCTCTCTGTCTCTCAGTGCTGTAAGTAGTGCCATGATCTGGTCAATGTCTTGGGGAAGGGGGCTAGCGATTAGTTTCTGTTTTCGTCCCAAAAGGCAACCTATTCCCTATATAGTGCACTATATAGGGAATAGGGTGCCATTTTGGACTCATCCTCTGAAGCCCTGTGTTCTCTGTTTGTTCAGGACATCCATAAGGACCAGCCGTACTATGACATCCCAGACACCCCTCACAGGATCACTGTCCCAGACACCTACGAGGCCAGAGAGGTAAGACAGCCTAGCCTGCACTGGTGCACTGGGATAGGGCGAAGTTGCCCCTAGACGCTGATCTGGGGTCAGTTATGTATTTCCCCCCACTAATGGTTAAGGTTAGGATTGGGGGAGGGGAAGCTGATCCTAGATCTACACCTAGGGGAAAGTTAACCCCGGAGCGCCTGCACTGCTGTTACACTCCACCACCACTCGGCGGAGGCGTTAGCAATGTCTGAAGCGAGGGGTTGCACTTGGGAATCATGGGATCTACAGTTGTTTAGCTGAAGCTGTATTCTGACAGACATGAACTGATTGATTGACGGATGGCATTAATTCTTAATTGTTCTAATTGCTGTTTGTCATTATTTAGTTAGTGTGATTTGGAAAAAGCTCAAGTAATGATAGAGTTAAGGTTTCCAATGTATTCATTTCATCATATCTCTCTCTCTCTCTCTCTCTCTCAGAGCATAGTGAAAGACTTTGCAGCTCGCTGTGGGGAGATCCTCAAGGAGGCCATGAAGTGGGCTTCTTCTGTCACCAAGTCCCACCTACAGGTCAGTCCTTGATTTTGTCCCAAATTGGACCCTATTCCCTATAAAGAGAACTACTGTTGACCAGGGCCAAAAGTAGTGCACTTCATAAGGGATAGGGTGCCATTTGGGACTCATTCCTCCTGTGTTCAGCTCCCCACTCCTAGAGCTCACTCCCACCTTCTTTGTAGCTCAGTTGGTAGAGCATGGCGCTTGTAACGCCAGGGTGGTGGGTTCGATTACCCGGACTACATACAGTGGGGAAAAAAAGTATTTAGTCAGCCACCAATTGTGCAAGTTCTCCCACTTAAAAAGATGAGAGGCCTGTAATTTTCATCATAGGTACACGTCAACTATGTCAGACAAAATGAGAATTATTTTTCCAGAAAATCACATTGTAGGATTTTTAATGAATTTATTTGCAAATTATGGTGGAAAATAAGTATTTGGTCAATAACAAAAGTTTCCCAATCCTTTTTTATTTTCCCTTTGTTGGCAATGACACAGGTCAAACGTTTTCTGTAAGTCTTCACAAGGTTTTCACACACTGTTGCTGGTATTTTGGCCCATTCCTCCATGCAGATCTCCTCTAGAGCAGTGATGTTTTGGGGCTGTCGCTGGGCAACACAGACTTTCAACTCCCTCCAAAGATTTTCTATGGGGTTGAGATCTGGAGACTGGCTAGGCCACTCCAGGACCTTGAAATGCTTCACTCCTTCGTTGCCCGGGCGGTGTGTTTGGGATCATTGTCATGCTGAAAGACCCAGCCACGTTTCATCTTCAATGCCCTTGCTGATGGAAGGAGGTTTTCACTCAAAATCTCACGATACATGGCCCCATTCTTTCCTTTACACGGATCAGTCGTCATGGTCCCTTTGCAGAAAAACAGCCCCAAAGCATGATGTTTCCACCCCCATGCTTCACAGTAGGTATGGTGTTCTTTGGATGCAACTCAGCATTCTTTGTCCTCCAAACACGACGAGTTGAGTTTTTACCAAGAAGTTCTATTTTGGTTTCATCTGACCATATGACATTCTCCCAATCCTCTTCTGGATCATCCAAATGCACTCTAGCAAACTTCAGACGGGCCTGGACATGTACTTGCTTAAGCAGGGGGACACGTCTGGCACTGCAGGATTTTAGTCCCTGGCGGCATAGTGTGTTACTGATGGTAGGCTTTGTTACTTTGGTCCCAGCTCTCTGCAGGTCATTCACTAGGTCCCCCCGTGTGGTTCTGGGATTTTTGCTCACCATTCTTGTGATCATTTTGACCCCACGGGGTGAGATCTTGCGTGGAGCCCCAGATCGAGGGAGATTATCAGTGGTCTTGCATGTCTTCCATTTCCTAATAATTGCTCCCACAGTTGATTTCTTCAAACCAAGCTGCTTGCCTATTGCAGATTCAGTCTTCCCAGCCTGGTGCAGGTCTACAATTTTGTTTCTGGTGTCCTTTGACAGCTCTTTGGTCTTGGCCATAGTGGAGTTTGGAGTGTGACTGTTTGAGGTTGTGGACAGGTGTCTTTTATACTGATAACAAGTTCAAACAGGTGCCATTAATACAGGTAACGAGTGGAGGACAGAGGAGCCTCTTAAAGAAGAAGTTACAGGTCTGTGAGAGCCAGAAATCTTGCTTGTTTGTAGGTGACCAAATACTTATTTTCCACCATAATTTGCAAATAAATTCATAAAAAATCCTACAATGTGATTTTCTGGAATTTTTTTTCTCAATTTGTCTGTCATAGTTGACGTGTACCTATGATGAAAATTACAGGCCTCTCTCATCTTTTTAAGTGGGAGAACTTGCACAATTGGTGGCTCACTAAATACTTTTTTCCCCCACTGTATATGTAAAATTTATGCACACATGACTGTAAGTTACTTTGGATAAAAGTGTCTGCTAAATGGCATATATTATTATTATTATTATTATTATTATTATTATTATTATTATTATTATTATATTACTCATTGGAATGCTTCTATGGAATAATTTATGTCCATAACACAGTACTCTCCAACAGGCAAACAAAGGCATATTCTATCATCTGGACTGTGCAAATTCACTGTGCAATATGTGTGTATCTTTATATCTGTTTGTTTACTATATATTTTAACATCTTATCAGACCTGCTCCAGCTTAAATAAAAAAATGTTTTTTTAATGGTGAACGAGCGTTACTCCTTTTCAATGATGATCACAATTTTTATTTTTTTGGTTGGACCTTGACTCACATCTTATCCGACTTGCCACCACTGAAATTCCCTCTGGGGAAAATAAAGCTATTCTATTCCATCTCCAGGAGTACCTGAACAAGCACCAAAACTGGATATCAGGTCTTTCCCAGCACACTGGCCTGGCTATGGCCACTGAGAGCATACTGGACTTTGCTGGCTACAACAGAGAGAGCACATCACTGGGGGTGAGACACACAGAAACACACCAACAGAGGCGTCATGCCCGTAGGGGGCATGTGCCCCCTCAGATTTGTCCTGTTAACATTTTTGTTTTTTCTCTGTAATACTACACTTAACAATTTTATGACGTTGGCTTTAGCTAGCCCAGATCGGTTCCCAATCTCCCAACCTCATAACTAGCTACCAAGAAGCCATTTCAGGCTATCAATCAAGTTAGAGTAGCTAGCTTGTCTAACTATCTTAGCTGGCATGCCTGCTGGCAAGGTTGGTAGACTTTAGAAAATCAAGCCATAACTAAATGTACTGAATAAGACTCACATTCCTTTCATTCTTTTACCAGATTTTAGCAGAGAAGCATATTTAGTTTCTTTAAAAAAAGAAACACCAGTCAGAAGGATACAGACAGCTCAAGAGGTATGCTTAGATATAAAAAATATTACACTTTTTTTGACAGAATTAAGCAGAATGATTATGGCTCTCGATTGCAGGAAAAAAATGTTTCAGGTGTTTGAAAAATTCAAAATTCTCCAACTCAGATTTTTGGGGCTGGGGGGTTACGTTCCCCAGCAAGAAAAAAAACATTGTCGCTCAAACAGAAAGGGGAACTAACAAAGTCACTAACAACAACAAAAACAAAACAGGTGGGGTGCAACAACAACTGGAACCTAAAAGACACCCACTGTGATCGCCAACTAAATTTGCCCAAGAAAAGGCAAACAAAATAAAAAACAACACCAAACTTAGACAGGAAGCAAACCAAAAAGTGGAGCAAAACAGAAACAGGGAAGTTCAGATAAAGGATTGTTTAAAAAAATATATATACTACATTTTTTGTTGGACAAGTATGCCCACAACCAACAGAAAACAACTTTCATCACAACATGATCAACTTAAATGCGTCGCTACTTAAATGCTTTGCCTCCTCCAATATAAACATGGCATCTACTGGCTGCATGACGCCTCCACACATCCCCCCCCCCCCCCCCCCCCCCCCCCCCCCCCACCTGTCTGTGGCTGCTGCTGGTTATGATGCTGCTGGCTGCTGCTGGTCTGTAAACGTTAGACTGCAGAGACTGTCCAACAGCAGCTGAAGGTAAGTGCGGGGCTAGAAGTAGATGACCAATGAAATTATAGCTAGGAGTAGACGACCAATGAAAAAGAAAGCACCTAAACAGACATGATCCAATTAATCAATCAACTGTTTTAGTGATAACAGTAGCTTAACTTTATATTATGTTCAGATTAACACTCATAACATGTACTGAACATGTTAGACAATGTGATCTTTGCAACGGCCAAAGCCAGTTTTTTGTAATTTAACACAAATAACTGAGATATGAGTGTAACTAGACTGATAGTTTAAAACGCAGTGTCATAAAACCAGTTATTCTTGAATATGAAAGTTAAAGGTTAATATGATCTTTGGGTTTGGTTTGAGTCAAGATTCCCATGCTTTACTAACATTCCCCCAATGTTGCCATATTGTCGTTTTGTAAAATGTCCCTTATACACTGAACAAAAATATAAAGGCAACATGCAACAATTTCTAAGATTTTACTGAGTTACAGTTCATATGGAAATCAGTCAGTTGAAATAATTCATTAGGCCCTCATCTATGGATTTCACGATTGGGAATACAGATATGTATATGTAGGTCACAGATACCTTAAACCAAAAAAAATACCCAAAAAATGTAGGGGTGTAGATCAGAAAACCAGTCAGTATCTGGTGTGACCACCATTTGCCTCATGCAGCGTGACACATCTCCTTCGCATAGCATTGATCAGGCTGTTGATTGTGGCCTGTGGAATGTTGTCCCACTCCTCTTCAATGGCTGTGCGAAGTTGCTGGATATTGGCGGGAACTGGAACACGCTGTCATACACGTCGATCCAGAGAATCTCAAACATGCTCAATGGGTGACATGTCTGGTGAGTATGCAGGCCATGGAAGAATTGGGACATTTTTAGCTTCCAGGAATTTTGTACAGATCCTTGCGAAATGGGGCCGTGCATTATCATGCTGAAACATGAGGTGATGGCGGCAGATGAATGGCATGACAATGGGCCTCAGGATCTCATCACGGTATCTCTGTGCATTCAAATTGCCATCGATAAAATGCAATTGTGTTCATTGTCTGTAGCTTATGCCTGCCCATACCATAACCCCACCGTCACCATGGGGCACTCCGTTCACAACGTTGACATCAGCAAACCGCTTGCCCACACGTCTGCCATCTGCCCGGTACAGTTGAAACCGGGATTCATCCGTGAAGAGCACACTTCTCCAGTGGCCATCGAAGGTGAGCATTTGCCCACTGAAGTCGGTTACGACGCCGAACTGCAGTCTCGTCAAGACCCTGGTGAGGACGACGAGCACGCAGGTGAGCTTCCCTGAGACGGTTACTGACAGTTTGTGCAGAAATTCTTCAGTTGTGCACACCCACAGTTTCATCAGCTGTCTGGGTGGCTGGTCTCAGATGATCCCCCGGTGAAGAAGCCAGATGTGGAGGTCCTGGGCTGGCATGGTTACATGTGGTCTGCAGTTGGGAGGCCAGTTGAATGTGCTGGCAAATTCTCTAAAACGAATTTGGATAAGGCTTATGGTTGAGAAATTAACATTCAATTCTCTGGCCACAGCTCTGGTGGACATTCCTGCAGTCAGCATGCCAATTGCACGCTCCCTTAACTTCAGACATCTGTGGCATTGGGTTGTGTGACAAAACTGCACATTTTAGAATGGCCTTTTATTGTCCCCAACACAAGGTGCACCCGTGTAATGATCATGCTGTTTAATCATCATCTTGATATGTCATACCTGTCAGGTGGATGGATTATCTTGGCAAAGGAGAAATGCTCACTAACAGGGATGTAAACAAATTTGTTCACAACATTTTAGAGAAATAAGCTTTATGTGCATATGAAACATTTTGGGGATCTTTTATTTCAGCTCCTGAAACATTGGACCAACACTTTACATGTTGCGTTTATATTTTTGTTTAGTAGAGTTGCTTTGTTAATGCCGTGCATTAAAGCTGCAATATCTAACTTTTTGGGCGACCTGATCAAATTCACATGGAAATGTAAGTTATATATCTGTCATTCTCATTGAAAGCAAGTTCATTTTTGCATCTTTTACTTTAGTTTTTGTACATCAGCTTCAAACATCTGAAAATACAATATTTTTGGTTATGGAAAATATTTTTCACAGCGGTTTAGATTGTACAATGATTCTCTACACTATACTTGCTTGTTTTGTCACATATAAACTGATATTAGGCGAACTATTAGATTTTTAGCAACCAGGAAATGGCAGAGCGATTTCTACATAGAGGTTAACATATCAATGTGCTTTTTGCATGATGTATGTACTGTACATGATGCACAGCATGCACTGGAATTTGTTGTGTTTATGTACGTCGGTGTGTGCACATACAGTGCATTCGGAAAGTATTCAGACCCCTTCCCATTTTCCACATTTTGTTACGTTACAGCCTTATTCTAAAATGGATTCAATAAATAAAAAGCCACAATAATGACAAAGTGAAAACAGGTTGTAAATTGTTTTTTGCAAATGTATTAAAAATAAAAAACTGAAACCTTATTTACATAAGTATTCAAACCCTTTGCTATGAGACTCGAAATTGAGCTCAGGGTCATCCTGTTTCCGTTGATCATCCTTGATGTTTCTACAACTTGATTGGAGTCCACCTGTGGTAAATTTGATTCATTGGACATGATTTGGAAAGGCACACACCTGTCTATATAAGGTCCCACAGATGACAGTGCATGTCAGAGAAAAAACCAAGACATGAGGTTGAAGGAATTGTCCGTAGAGCTCCGAGACAGGATTGTATCGAGGCACAGGGGAAGGGTACCAAAACAATTCTGCAGCATTGAAGGTCCCTGAGAACACAGTGGCCTCCTTCATTCTTAAATGGAAGAAGTTTGGAACCGCCAAGACTCTTCCTAGAGCTGGCCGTCTGGCCAAACTGAGCAATCGTGGGAGAAGGGCCTTGGTCAGGGAGGTGACCAAGAACCCAATGGTCACTCTGACAGAGCTCCAGAGTTCCTCTGCGGACATGGGAGAACCTTCCAGAAGGAAGGTTCTCCCATCTCTACAGCACTCCACCAATCAGGCCTTTATGGTAGAGCGGCCAGACCGAAGCCAAAAATAGCTGTGCTACGACGCTCCCCATCCAACCTGACCGAGCTTGAGAGGATCTGCAGAGAAGAATGGGAGAAACTCCCCAAATACAGGTGTGCCAAGCTTGTAGCAACATATCCAAGAAGACTTTAGGCTGTAATCGCTGCCAAAGGTGCTTCAACAAAGTACTGAATAAATGGTCTGAATACTTATGTCAATGTCATATTTCAGTTTTTTATATATATATATTTGGAAACATTTCTAAAAACCTGTTTCTACTTTGTCATTATGGGGTATTGTGTGTAGATTGACGAGGGAAAAAAACGATTGAATCAATTTTAGAATAAGGCTGTAACGTAACAAAATGAGGAAAAAGTCAAGGGGTCTGAATACTTTCCGAATGCACTGTATGTGTGTGCGCATGCATGCATGTGCATCAGCGCGCACATGCCAGCGTTTTTGCGTGCTTATTCTTGTGTTTGCGAATGGATTTTTGCTTCATTTTGCTTTGTTTTGTCCACCTTCTCACTCCCATTGCCCTCGCTTGCCTGCCTGTTTGCTTGCCTGCCTCCCTACCTACACCTGTACTGGGCTACCTGGTTGCCTGGTTAACGGATTGACCGACTGGTTGGTTGGGCTGTTCTGGTCTAGCCTGCTAACTGATTGTCCTTGCTGCTGTTCCTTTCTTCAGGCTGGTTTCCCCCAGGTTGGACTGAAAGGGGCTCCACATGCTTCAGACCAGAGACTGTTAGGCTCCCACAACTCATTCTCACGTTCCGTATTTCTCTCTCTCTCTCCTCCCCCCCATGTCCCTGTCTGCCTAGAAATGAACTAACAAACCGACCCCCTACCTGGTTTCTCCCCTACAGACGATCCAGCTGACTGAGAGACCAGCGTGTGTGAAGAAGGACTACTCCAATTTCATGTCCTCCCTCAACCTGAGGAATCGCTACACTGGAGAGGTGTGTGTTTACGTGCGTGTGGGCATGCAGCAGGATGATCGCAAATAATATATGAGGGTCCTTTTTGATTGTGGATCCAATAAAAATGCAGGTGTATGCTTCTGTGTGTCTGTATGTTTGTGTAGGTGGCAGGTATGATCCAGTTCGCCGAGGCGACCCACAGCCAGTCAGACCTGAGCAAACTGATGGTGAAACAGATGACAGACGCCCTTTCCTCCAAAGTCCCAGAATCCTTCTCTCAGGCCATGTTCAAAATGTCTGCCTTGCTCATCAGTCACAAAGGTAAAGACTGAGGAACACACACGTATACATTAGCATCCGGGTCGTCTGACACAGCTGAAGCCTACTGTAGGTGTTACGTTAGCTCTGAAAGTGTTGTTTCTCTGCTCTACAAGAACTGAACCTCTGAACAGTTTTAAGATGCTTATACATGTAGGGCCGGTTTCCCAGACACAGATGAAGTCTAGTCCTGGACTATAAAGCTCAATGTTCAATAAAGATTCTCAGTTGAAAGTGCTCCAGGACTAGGCTTAATATGTGTCCGGGAAAACCGCCCCATAGTCTCTTATTTTCTCCCTTGTTCGTGCCTCTGACTCTCTTTCCTTATCAGTCTCCCTTTTTGCCTTTCTCTCTCCCTCCACCTCTCTCTCCCCTACCTTTCTCTGTAGACTATGACCCCCAGCTCCTGCACCACCTGTGCTGGTCTCCCCTGAAGATGTTCACAGAGCATGGGATGGAGACTGCCATCGCCTGCTGGGAGTGGTTCCTCGCCGCACGCAACGGACTGGAAGTCCCGGTACGTGTGTGTGTGTGTGTGTACGTGTGTGTGTACTTGTGTGTGTGTGTGTGTGTGTGTGTGTGTGTGTGTGTGTGTGCTTGCATGCTCAGTACGAGTGTGTACCTCATGTCTCTCTCTGTAGTTTATGCGCGAGATGGCCGGGGCGTGGCAGATGACAGTGGAGCTGAAGATGGGCTTGTTCGGAGAGGCCCAGGTGGAGGCTGACCCGCTGGCTGCCTCAGAGGAGAGCCAGCCCATCCCCTGTCCCCCCATCGTCACCCCACACATTCTATGGATAGAGGTCAGTGCCACTGGAGATTCTCAGGGTGCCTTTTTGTGGCTGATACTGGAAGCAAACGGACTGAAACTGGGAGGGACTAGCTGAACATGTCCAATAAGACAATTTCATTTTCTTTGAGTAATGTTTTACGTTGCAAAACGTTTTGTTACGGTTTGCTACGGTGTGCACTAATGTATACACCCCTGCTCCTGTCCTTGTCTAGTTCCTGGTGCAGAGGTTTGAGATCGCCAAGTACTGCAGTGCCGACCAGGTGGAGATCTTCACCACTGTCCTGCAGAGGTCGCTATCGCTCAGTGTCGGAGGGGCCAAGAACAGTCTCAACCGCCACGTAGCGGCCATAGGACCCCGATACAGGTTAACACACACATGCATGCACGCACGGACGCACACTACTACTACTGCTACAGTGCACATTTCATCTACACACAAAATAACTCCCTCTACCACTCTCTCTTCAGGTTGTTGACTCTAGGTCTAAGTATCCTACATGCGGACGTGGTCACTAATGCCACCATTAGAAATGTCCTCCGAGAGAAGATCTACTCCACCGCATTCGACTACTTCAGGTACACACACACACACACACACACACACACACACACACACAACCAGTACCTTGTACAGAGTAAGATGCAGTGTGAGTAAATTCCACTAGATGGCGGTGCAGGTCCACCAAACTCCTGATTAATTTACTAAAGTTACCGGAAACTTCTGTAATTTTTGTAATTAACAGAAATCTATGGCAATCTATCGTAACTTTGGCAATCTATCGTAACCTTGGTCATTTATACTTAAAAAATAAAAAATGTGTGCTAATATTACCTCAAAAGTCATATTAATCAAAAAATAACTATTGACCATGCCAAAAGAGTTGAAAAGGAAAGTTTTGAGTGAGGAAAAGAAGGGTTCAATTCTGGCTTTACTGGCAGAGGGATACAGTGAGCGTCAGGTTGCTTCCATCCTTAAAATTTCAAAGACGGCGGTTCATAAGAACAAGGTCAAGCAGCAGACAATGGGGACAACAAAGCTACAGACCGGCAGAGGGCGAAAACGACTCTCTACTGACCGGGATGACCGCCAACTCATTCGAATGTCACTCAACAACCATAGGATGACATCAAGTGACCTACAAAAATAATGACAAACGGCAGCTGGGATGAAGTGCACGGCAAGGACGGTTCGAAACAGGCTCCTAGGGGCAGGGCTGAAGTCGTGCAAAGCTAGAAAAAAGCCCTTCATCAATGAGAAGCAAAGAAGAGCCAGGCTGAGGTTTGCAAAAGACCATAAGTATTGGACCGTAGAGGACTGGAGTAAGGTCATCTTCTCTGATGAGTCCAATTTTCAGCTTTGCCCAACACCTGGTCATCTAATGGTTAGACGGAGACCTGGAGAGGCCTACAAGCCACAGTGTCTCGCACCCACTGTGAAATTTGGTGGAGGATCAGTGATGATCTGGGGGTGCTTCAGCAAGGCTGGAATCGGGCAGATTTGTCTTTGTGAAGGACGCATGAATCAAGCCACGTACAAGGTTGTCCTGGAAGAAAACTTGCTTCCTTTTGCTCTGATATTGTTCCCCAACTCTGAGGATTGGTTTTTCCAGCAGGACAATGCGCCATGCCACACAGCCAGGTCAATCAAGGTGTGGATGGAGGACTACCAGATCAAGACCCTGTCATGGCCAGCCCAATCTCCAGACCTGAACCCCATTGAAAACTTCTGGAATGTGATCAAGAGGAAGATGGATGGTCACAAGCCATCAAACAAAGCTGAGCTGCTTGACTTTTTGCGCCAGGAGTGGCATAAAGTCACCCAACATCAATGTGAAAGACTGGTGGAGAGCATGCCAAGACGCATGAAAGCTGTGATTGAAAATCAGGGTTATTACACCAAATATTGATTTCTGAACTCTTCCTAAGTTAAAACATTACTATTACTATTGTGTTGTTTAAAAATGAACATGAACTTATTTTCTTTGCATTATTCGAGGTCTGACAACACTGCATCTTTTTTGTTATTTTGACCAGTTGTCATTTTCTGCAAATAAATGATCTAAATGACAATATTTTTATTTGGAATTTGGGAGTACTGTTGTCAGTAGTTTATAGAATAAAACAAAAATGTTATTTTTACCCAAACACATACCTATAAATAGTAAAACCAGAGAAACTGATAATTTTGCAGTGGTCTCTTAATTTTTTCCACAGCTGTGTGATATATATATATATATATATAGTTGAAGTCGGAAGTTTACATACACTTAGGTTGGAGTCATTAAAACTCGTTTTTCAACCACTCCACAAATTTCTTGTTAACAAACTACAGTTTTGTCAAGTTGGTTAGTACATCTACTTTTTGCATGACACAAGTCATTTATCCAACAATTGTTTACAGACAGATTATTTCACTTATAATTCACTGTATCACAATTCCAGTGGGTCAGAAGTTTACATACACTAAGTTGACTGTGCCTTTAAACAGCTTGGAAAATTCCAGAAAAATGATGTCATGGCTTTAGAAGGTTCTGATAGGCTAATTGACATCATTTGAGTCAATCAGAGGTGTACCTGTGGATGTATTTCAAGGCCTCCCTCAGTGCCTCTTTGCTTGACATCATGGGAAAATCAAAAGAAATCAGCCAAGACCTTAGAAAAAGTGTTTTGTAGACCTCCAGAAGTCTGGTTCATCCTTGGGAGCAATTTCCAAACGCCTGAAGGTACCACGTTCATCTGTACAAACAATAGTATGCAAGTATAAACACCATGGGGCCACGCAGCCGTCATACCGCTCAGGAAGGAGACGCTTTCTGTCTCCTAGAGATGAACGTACTTTGGTGCGAAAAGTGTAAATCAATCCCAGAACAACAGCAAAGGACCTTGTGAAGATGCTAGAGGAAACAGGTACAAAAGTTTCTATATCCACAGTAAAACAAGTCCTATATCGACATAACCTGAAAGGCCGCTCAGCAAGGAAGAAGCCACTGCTCCAAAACTGCCATAAAAAAGCCAGAATACTGTTTGCAACTGCACATGGGGACAAAGATTGTACCTTTTGGAGAAATGTCCTCTGGTCTGATTAAACAATAATAGAACTGTTTGGCCATAATGACCATCGTTATGTTTGGAGGAAAAAGGGGGTTGATTGCAAGCCGAACAACACCATCCCAACCGTGAAGCACGAGGGTGGCAGCATCATGCTGTGGGGGTGCTTTGCTGCAGGAGGTACTGGTGCACTTCACTAAATAGATGGCATCATGAGGAAGGAAAATGATGTGGATATATTGAAGCAACATCTCAAGACATCAGTCAGGAAGTTAAAGCTTGGTCGCAAATGGGTCTTCCAAATGGACAGTGACCCCAGGCATACTTCCAAAGTTGTGGCAAAATGGCTTAAGGACAACAAAGTGGCCATCTCAAAGCCCTGACCTCAATCCTATAGAACATTTGTGGGCAGAACTGAAAAAGCGTGTGCGAGCAAGGAGGCCTACAAACCTGACTCAGTTGCTCCAGCTCTGTCAGGAAGAATGGGCCAAAATTCATCCAACTTATTGTGGGAAGCTTGTGTAAGGCTACCCGGAACGTATAACCCAAGTTAAACAATTTAAAGGCAATGCTACCAAATATTAATTGAGTGTATGTAAACCTCTGACCCACTGGGAATGTGATGAAAGAAATAAAAGCTGAAATAAATAATTATCTCTATTATTCTGACATTTCACATTCTTAAAATAAAGTGGTGATCCTAACTGACCTAAAACAGGAAATTTAATTAATTAATTAAATGTCAGGAATTGTGAAAAACTGAGTTTAAATGTATTTGGCTAAGGTGTATGTAAACTTCCGACTTCAACTGTGTATAATATATATATATATATATATATATATATATATATATATATATATATATATATATATATATATATATATATAGTATTAATTTGTTATATCTGTGTCCATATTGTCCATTACTTTCTAGTCGATAAACCATATGGTTAAAGAGAAAATAGCCTAATTAATAAAAAAAGATTCAGCAAAGGCATTATTTTCAATTAACTCTGCAACTCTTCCAACTAATGACTTCTTTCACAACTGCCACCAGTTTGACGCCAAAGCGTCTCAGAGTAGAAGTGCTGATCTAGGATCAGGTTCCCTCTGTCTATACAATGTTATTCATTGTAATCTAAAAGGCTAAACGGATCCTAGATCAACACTTCTACTCTGAGACGCTTTAAGAATACGGGCCCTGGAGTACTGTATCCCCATCAGAAAATAAGAGCAAAGCAAAAAATGAAATCATTATAATTTCACTGAAAACGTGTACTTTGTCATTTTGTGTGACAGCATTCTGTGTAATGTCATGAGCAAGTACGGCCACTAACCGGGCCTCTCTCTCTGTCTCCTCAGCGTTGCTCCTAAGTTCCCCACCCAGACAGAGAAGAGACTGAGGGAGGACATCAGTATCATGATCAAGTTCTATGCCAGTCTGCTGTCGGACAAAAAGTATATTGCTGCCACCCAGCTGGTGCCTCCAGGTATGCCCACTTTCCCCTTAAAGGCGGAGGCTGCGTCCCAAATGGCACCATATTTCGTATCAAAAGTAGTGCACTATATAAGAGAATAGGGTACCATTTGAGTCTCAGCTACAGGTTCAGTTCAGAGAAGCCTAAGCACTGTTACAATGCTTACTGTTTCCCCTACCATTACTCATTGGTATCCACAATGTCTACGGATGGCACTGTAATATTCTATTTCATGCTTCCTGTGCCCAGACCCCCAGGACATGTCTGTGAACAGTCTCTCTGTTGCCATGGTGACAGACAGCCGGAGCAGTCTAGATGCCGCAGTAGGCCAGAGACAGCAGGCGGCTCAGGGCTGGATCAACACATACCCACTGTCTTCTGGCATGTCCACCATATCCAAGAAATCAGGTAACACAGACACGCACCACACACATCTCAACTTCCAATTAACTGACTCACTGCTATACACAGGCCGCATGAAATCTGGTAGGGCAGCAAAACAACACCCAGACCCCTGACTGTGTGATTTCCTTTTGTTCCAGGACTGTCTAAGAAGAGCAATAGAGGGTCACAGCTGCACAAGTACTACATGAAGAGGAGGACCCTGCTACTGGCCCTGCTGGTAACTAACACCTTTCTTTTTTGCTCTAACACTCACACTAGTCTTTTCTTACTAGCTCTGGGTTTTGCTGATAGCTACTTTATTGAGGAAAGTTTTCACTTACAATGACTGTGATATGTAGTTGTCTTACCTAGCTTAGTTGAATGCACTGACTAAGTCGCTCTGGATAAATGACCTAAATGTAAATGTGGTAGCACTTCTTTAATCTTAACTCCCCCCCCACACTTCCATTTTGTACAATGAAAGTACTGCCAATATGGTGCCTTTCTTTCGCTCTCTCTAGGCCAGTGAGATCGAACGGTTGACTACATGGTACAACCCTCTGTCCACGCCGGAGTTGGCCATCGCTACAGAACAGTCCGTGGAGACCAGCATCGCCAACTGGAGGTCCAAGTACATCAGCCTGAGTCAGAAACAATGGAAAGACCATGTCAACCTGGCCTGGAGTATAGCTCCTTATCTGGCCCTGCAGCTGCCTGCAAGGTACACACGCACATACACACACACACACACATGCAGGCATGCACGTACGTGTGCTCAAACACACAATATACACACTGAAATATATTCTATTCTCTATGGTTTGTTCTTTCTCATTTGATCATCTTTTACCCTGGATGTGGGTATGCTGTGATATGGCTGTATGTCTTTTTAGATGTTAAAATGTAATCTATCTACGGATGCATCAGGTTTAAGAACACTGAGGCCATTGTGGCGGAGGTGACTCGTCTGGTGCGTTTGGACCCAGCGGCTGTGTGTGACGTACCTGAGGCCGTCAAGGTGAGAGAGCGAGACCTCGTGCCTGAGACCATCCAATAGCCCCTCTCAGGCTGCACTTACTACACTTGGTTCAGTTGATTTATGTGCACATAGAAACATTCAAGACTGAGGAGACTAGGAAGTGTGCACTAGGCCATGTGCTCAGCTCTCTAGACTGGCACTTACACATAATCTTCTCCCTTCAGATCTGCAAACAGTGAAGAAGTAGAAGCCAAGGTCAGGAGTAAGGCTAGGGTGTAGGGCACAACAAATCCTAACAAACCTGATTGAGCTACAGGCTTGATGATGAGTTAATTAGTTGAATCAAGTGTCTTAGTGCTAGGGCAAAAACTGAAATGTGCACCCCAATAGGTCCCTAGGACCGGGATTGGGAAACACTGGTATATGGGTTGTTTTGTAGAGTCATTGTTGATGTTGAAGTCAATTCTCCTGTTCAGTCTGTTGTGGTGACTTAGTTCTGCATGGATAGACCTTCCTAGTAAACTGCCTAATGAGCTTGTCTCTGGACTACTGTTAATAACAGCTCCACCATTGCCTTAGTGGGGCAGTCAGTCAGTGGAGAGGTGATGCTCTCTGACAGGCCATGGCTGTTTGTTCCAGTCCCCTTCCTCTCACTGGTCCTCTGGGGTGTGTGGTGAAGTTGTCCCTAGATCCTAATCTAGGGTCAGTTTAGCTTTTTCCCCACTAATTGTTAAGGTTAGAATTGTGGGAGGTGAAGCTGATCCTAGATCTGTACCTAGGGGAAACTTCATTCGGGAGTGATCGTCTGGAGGCGGAGGCTCATTAGCACCACCACAGCCAGGGGGATTGGGCAACTTTGTGCCTTTTGAAGTTTGGTCGGCAAAACAATGGTGCAATAATATCACTTTCAATTTATGATAACTAGGAAGTTGTAGGGGTGACACAGCAAGCATAGGATAACACAGAGGGTAAATGTGTGGATTTACAGTAGTAACCCACTCATTCACTTCTCCAGACCCAGATCTCCTCTTCTGAGACATAGCTATTTCAATGGAGATTCTCTTTAATCTGTGTCTGTTAAACAAGTCCCAAAAATGTGTATTATAATAATAATAATAACTTTGTTTTTATAGCGCTTTTCAATACAAGTAACAAAGTGCTTCACATCATAAAATAATAAAATAAAGGTACTAACAAAGAAACAACAACAAGATGAAGGAGAAATGAAAAAAAGAGATGGCAAATTAAAATCATACATTGAAATCATACATAAAAAACGTATCTATAAAAGTGTGTCTTCAGCAGGGGTTTAAAAAGAGGCACTGAATCTGCAAGCCTGATCGACCTCTGGCAGACCATTCCAAAGTCTAGGGGCCCTAATGGCAAATGCCCAGTCTTCTTTCGTTTTCAACCTAGACTTTGGAATGGTCAGCAGTGCCCTGCTAAAAGATCTGAGATATAGGATGGGCCTAAACCTTAAACGTGATCTATCTTATGTCTAAATTCATCGGGTGAACAAACAGTGCCTTCAGAAAGTATACACACCCCTTGACTTTTTCCACTTTTTGTTGTGTTACAGCCTGCATTTAAAATGGATTAAATTGAGTTGTTGAATTATAGTATGTTTTTCAAAATTTTTACAAATTAATTAAAAATGAAAAGCTGAAATGTCTTGAGTCAATAAGTATTCAACCCCTTTGTTATGGCAAGCCTAAATAAGTGAATTACTAAAAATGTGCTTAACAAATCACATAATACGTTGCATGGACTCAGTCACTCTGTGTGCAATAATTGTGTTTAACATAATGTTTGAATGACTACCTCATCTCTATACCCCACACATACAATTGTCTGTAAGCAGTGACATTTCAAACACAGATTCAACCGAACCACAAAGACCAGGGAGGTTTTCCAATGCCTCTAAAACAAGGGTAAAAAATTAAACGCAGACATTGAATAAACTTTGAGCATGGTGAAGGTATTAATTACACTTTGGGTGGTGTATCAATACACCCAGTCACTACAAAGATACAGGCATCCTTCCTAACTCAGTTGCCGGAGAGGAAGGAGACCGCTCAAGGATTTCACCATCAGGCCAATGGGGACTTTAAAAAAGTTACATAGTTGAATGGCTGTGATAGGAGAGAACTGAGGATGGATCAACAACATTGTAGTTACTTCACAATACTCCACAAATATTCCCAAACATGCAGCCTGTTTGCAACAAGGCACTAAAGTAATAATACAAATGTGGCAAAGCAATTCACTTATTGTCCTGAATACAAAGTGTTATGTTTGGGGCAAATCCAATACAACACATTACTGAGTACCGCTCTCCGTATTTTGTGGTGGCTGCATCATGTTATGGGTATGCTTGTAATCTTTAAGATCTGGGTCGTTTTTCAGGATAAAAAATGAACGGAATGGAGCTAAACACAGGCAAAATATTAGAGAAAAACCTGGTTCAGTCTGCTTTCCACCGGACACTGGGAGATGAATTCGCCTTTCAGCAGGACAATAACCTAAAAAAGAATAATGGGCAAATGTTGCACAATCCAGGTGTGGAAAGCTCTTAGAGAATTACCCAGAAAGACTCACAGCTGTAATCGCTGCCAACGGTGCTTCTACAAAGTATTGACTCAGGTGTGAATACGTATGTAAATGAGAAATCTCTGTATTTTAATTTCAATACATTTGCAAAAATGTCTAACAACATGTTTTCACTTTGTCATTTTCGGCTATTGTGTGTAGATGGATGAGAAAAAAATATATTTAATCAATTTTGAATTCAGGCTGTAACACAACAAAATGTGGAATAAGTCAAAGGGTACTGTACGTATAGTATCAGTCAAATGTTTGGACACACCTACTCATTCAAGGGTTTTTCTTTATTTTTACTATTTTTTTACATTGAAGACATCAACACAAATAACACATATGGAATCATATAGTAACCAATAACGTGTTTAACAAATCAAAATATGTTTTATATTTGAGATTCTTCAAGTAGCCACCCTTTGCCTTGATGACAACTTTGCACACTCTTGCCATTCTCTCAACCAGCTTCACCTGGAATGCTTTTCCAACAGTCTTGAAGGAGTTCCCACATATGCTGAGCACTTGTTGGCTGCTTTTCCTTCACTCTGCCGTCCGTCTCATCCCAAACCATCTCAATTTGGTTGAGGTCGGGGGATTGTGGAGGCCAGGTCATCTGATGCAGCACTCCATCACTCTCCTTCTTGGTAAAATAGCCCTTACACAGCCTGGAGGTGTGTTGGGTCATTGTCCTGTTGAAAAACACTAAGCCCAAACCGATGGGATGGCGTATCGCTGCAGAATGCTGTGGTAGCCATGCTGGTTAAGTGTGCCTTGAATTCTAAAGAAATCACAGACAGTGTCACCAGCAAAGCACCCCCACACCATAACACCTCCTCCTCCATGCTTTACAGTGGGAACTACACATGCAGAGATAATCCGTTCACCCACACCGTGTCTTACAAAGACACGGCGGTTGGAACCAAAAATCCCAAATTTGGACTCCAGACCAAAGGACACATTTCCATCAGTCTAATGTCCATTGCTCGATTTTCTTGGCCCAAGCAGGTCTCTTCTTATTATTGGTGTCCTTTAGTGGTTTCTTTGCAGCAATTCAACCATGAAGGCCTGATTCACACAGTCCCCTCTGAACAGTTGATGTTGAGATGTGTCTGTGACTTGAACTCTGTGAAGAATTTATTTGGGCTGCAATTTCTGAGGCTGGTAACTCTAATGAACTTATCCTCTGCAGCGGAGGTAACTCTGGGTCTTCCATTCCTGTGGTGGTCCTCATGAGAGCCAGTTTCATCAAAGCGCTTGATGGTTTTTGCGACTGCACTTGAGGAAATGTTCAAAGTTCTTCACATTTTCCGTATTGACTGACATTCATGTCTTAAAGTAATGATGGACTGTCATTTCTTTTTGCTTATTTGAGCTGTTCTTGCCATAATATGGACTTGGTCTTTTACCAAATAGTGCTATCTTCTGTATACCCCCCTTCCTTGTCACAACACAATTGATTGGCTCAAACGCATTAAGAAGGAAACAAATTCCACAAATTAACAGGCATTAGGTGACTACCTAATGAAGCTGGTTGAGAGAATACCAAGTGTGCAAAGCTGTCATCAAGGCAAAGGGTGGCTACTTTGAAGATTCTCAAATATAAAATAGATTTTGATTTGTTTAACACAATTTTGGTTACTACATGATTCCATATGTGTTATTTCATAGTTTTGATGTCTTCACTATTATTCTACAATGTAAAAAATAGTTTAAAAAAGAAAAACCCTTGAATGAGTAGGTGTGTCCAAACTTTTGACTGGTAGTGTATATATTGCATTTGGATTACTGTTACAGTGCTATTTGGGTTGTTAATTAGATTCGTTCTGACGTTTCTTGATTTCATAATTCTTTAAAATTATTTGTGTACTTGATTGACATTTTACTGCATTTAGGAGCTAGTAACATGATTATTTCGCTGCACCTGGTATAACATCTGCTAAACTGTGTTATGCAACCAATAAACATTGATTCGATTAATACAATTTTAAAATCTATTCTAAAAGTGACTGGTAGCCAGAAGCTAAAATAGGTGTGATATGGTTACATTTCCTAGTACTTGTTAAAAGCCGAGCTGCAGCATTTTGAACAAACTAGACGATGGAGTGATTTTTGACTGAGATAGGTATACAAAGAGTTACAGTAATCAAGGCGTGAGGAAATAAAAGCATGTATACGTTTCTCCAGATCAGTGACTGATATGAAAGTCTTGACTTTAGCTATATTTCTTACATGATAAAAGTAGGACTGACAACCTTTTTTACATGCAGCTCGAGGTTTAGGTCAGGGTCTTAATTCACTCTCTCTCTCTGGTGTCCAGTTCCTGGTGACGTGGCACACCATCGATGCAGACTCTCCAGAGCTGAGCCATATCCTGTGTTGGGCTCCCGTCGACCCCCCGACTGGCCTCTCCTACTTCTCCTCCATGTACCCCCCGCACCCCCTCACGGCTCAGTATGGGGTGAAAGTACTGCGCTCCTTTCCCCCGGTACGCATGCACGAACACACACACACACCAAGTAGGACTGATCTGTAACATCATGGGCCAAAAAGGTGACAGAAAATGTTGTTGTGCGATGCAAGGAACCACTTTACAAAATGAACTCCCTATAATGAGAGCTTGAGAGGCGGTTTTACAACAGGAGTTGTTATTATTATACCCATTCATCAACTGTGTGTCGTCCAATGTGATTATTAACGAGTGATGGTGGTTTTTAGGACATAACAATGACATTAAAACATGCAAATAGCTAAATAGTTAACTACAAAATACACTGTATGTACAAAAGCATGTGGACACCCTTTCAAATTAGTGGATTCGGCTATTTCAGCCACACCCGTTGCTGACAGGTGTATAAAATTGAGCACACAACCATGCAATCTCCATAGACAAACATTGGCAGTAGAATGACCTTTCTGAAGAGCTCAGTGACTTTCAATGTGGCACCGTCCATAGGAAGCCACCTTTCCAACAAGTCACTTTGACAAATTTCTGCCCTGCTACAGCTGCCCCGGTCAACTGTAACTGCTGTTATTGTGAAGTGGAAACGTCTAGGAGCAACAATGGCTCAGCCGCAAAGTGGTAGGCCACACAAGCTCACAGCGTAAAAATGAGGGGTGGGGGGCGCGTAAAAATCATCATTCCTCAGTTGCAACACTCACTACCAAGTTCCAAACTGCCTCTGGAAGCAATGTCAGCACAATAACTGTTCGTCAGGAGCTTCATGAAATGGGTTTCCATGGCTGAGCAGCTGCACACAAGCCTAAGATCACCATGTGCAATGACAAGCGTCGGCTGGAGTGGTGTAAAGCTCGCCGCCATTGGACTCTGGATCAGTGGAAACGCGTTCTCTGGAGTGATGAATCACACTTCACCATCTGGCAGTCCGACTGACTAATCTGGGCTTGGCGGATGCCAGGAGAACGCTACCTGCGCGAATGTATAGTGCCAACTGTATGCATAGTGCCAACTGAGGAGGAATAATGGTCTGGGGCTGTTTTTCATGGTTCAGGCTAGGCCCCTTAGTTCCAGTGAAGGGAAATCTTAACGCTACAGCATACCATGACATTCTAGACGATTCTGTGCTTCCAACTTTGTGGCAGAAGTTTGAGAAAGGCCCTTTCCTGTTTCAGCATGACAATGCCCCAGTGCACAAAGCGAGGTCAATACAGAAATTGTTTGTCGAGATTATAGCAGCAAAGTGGGGACCAACTCCATATTAACGCCCATGATTTTGGAATGAGATGTTTGACGAGCAGGTGTCCACATACTTTTGGTTTTGTAGTGAAGCTAGCATGACTGCACTATATGTTTTCAATTGGCTATCGGGTAAGTATTTTGTCTATCATTATTTTAGGCTACCCGCTGCAATCTCTCTCTCTCTCGCACTGACACACACGCAGGCGATGCACACATCATTACTTTTCCAGGATTTTCATGACCGTATGACTGCTCGTGCATGTCAATACAATAGGCTACAATTCTACTCCGATGCGCTCTGCAGAAATTGGGAGAACACCTATCCAATTCTGATCGAGTAATTGTTTTTGTGTGATCATTTTTTACTTGTCCATTCGGACAACTGAAATCTGTATTCTGCTTGCCCAACATTTTTTTTTACTTGTCCCATACAAGCGGACAAGGGTTAATGTCGAGACCTGCACTATACCCCACCATCTCACAGCTCAAACTCTCAAACTGCTCTCCTTTCCCCTATTACACACACACACACACACACACACACACACACACACACACACACAAAAGACAGTTGATCTGTTAATCAATCTCTTCCTTCTTTTTGTCCTTTCATTTTCAGGATGCCATCTTGTTCTACATTCCTCAAATAGTTCAAGCCCTCCGCTATGACAAGGTAAACACACCAGTTGTGTTTGCATGAGTGTGTGTGCATGCTTATGCATGCATGCGTTGTGTGTGTAGTTCCATGTGCGTTACGTTGTGTGTGTGTGTGTGTATGTTCTAGATGGGCTATGTGAGAGAGTACATCCTGTGGGCGGCTCAGAAGTCTCAGCTGCTGTGTCACCAGTTCATCTGGAACATGAAGACAAACATCTACCTAGACGAGGAGGGACACCAGAAAGACCGTGAGACGTGCACACACACACACACAAAATACAAAAGAGAAGACATGGAGGATTGGGCTGAATGAAAAGGAAGACAGACACACTTTGTTACAATGTAAATAAGCTCTCCTCTGTGTGTGTAGCTGACATAGATGGTTGAGGAGATGACAGGCTCACTGTGTGGTTCAGCCACAAAACACACCAGACACTTTGACATAATCTCTCCCTCTTTCTTTCTGTCTCTCTTTGTAGCTGACATAGGGGAATTACTCGAACAGATGGTCGAGGAGATCACTGGTGCTCTATCCGGTCCGGCTAAAGACTTTTACCAGAGAGAGTTTGACTTCTTCAACAAGATCACCAACGTGTCTGCCATCATCAAGTAGGCCCCAACACACACCTCCTACACACACACACACATACACCCTCCTAAACCACAATTCTAATGAGTTCCTCTATAGACCTAGATGTTCATTGTCAGGCCTGTTCCCATAGGTACGTTCCACTGCTGTTAATATGTTCTAGTGGCCCCTAATGTGGCCCCTGAATGCTGTTATTCAACCATTATTATCCAATGTGTCTGTGTGATTATTTAGCCATCTGGAATGACACTGGTGTCATGGAGCGTTCTGTCCCATCAGCTCCTTAGTTACCTGCCCATCTGTGTATTAATTGACTACCTGAGTGTAGGCTGAGGCAGCGTCCCAAATGGCCCCCTATTCCCTACAGTGAGGGAAAAAAGTATTTGATCCACTGCTGATTTTGTACGTTTGCCCACTGACAAAGAAATGATCAGTCTATAATTTTAATGGTAGGTTTATTTGAACAGTGAGAGACAGAGTAACAACAAAAAAATCCAGAAAAATGCATGTAAAACATGTTATAAATTGATTTGCATTTTAATGAGTGAAATAAGTATTTGACCCCCTCTCAATCAGAAAGATTTCTGGCTCCCAGGTGTCTTTTATACAGGTAACGAGCTGAGATTAGGAGCACACTCTTAAAGGGAGTGCTCCTAATCTCAGCTTGTTACCTGTATAAAAGACACCTGTCCACAGAAGCAATCAATCAATCAGATTCCAAACTCTCCACCATGGCCAAGACCAAAGAGCTCTCCAAGGATGTCAGGGACAAGATTGTAGACCTACACAAGGCAGGAATGGGCCACAAGACCATCGCCAAGCAGCTTGGTGAGAAGGTGACAACAGTTGGTGCAATTATTCGCAAATGAAAAAACACAAAAGACCTGTCAATCTCCCTCAGCCTGGGGCTCTGTGCAAGATCTCACCTCGTAGAGTTGCAATGATCATGAGAACGGTCAGGAATCAGCCCAGAACTACACGGGAGGATCTTGTCAATGATCTCAAGGCAGCTGGGACCATAGTCACCAAGAAAACAATTGGTAACACACTACGCCGTGAAGGACTGGAATCCTGCAGCGTCCGCAAGGTCCCCTTGCTCAAGAAAGCACATATACAGGGCCGTCTGAAGTTTGCCAATGAACATCTGAATGATACAGAGGAGAACTGGGTGAAAGTGTTGTGGTCAGATGAGACCAAAATCGAGCTCTTTGGCATCAACTCAACTCGCCGTGTTTGGAGGAGGAGGAATGCTGCCTATGACCCCAAGAACACCATCCCCACCGTCAAACATGGAGGTGGAAACATTATGCTTTGGGGTGTGTTTTTCTGCTAAGGGGACAGGACAACTTCACTGCATCAAAGGGACGATGGACGGGGCCATGTACCGTCAAATCTTGGGTGAGAACCTCCTTCCCTCAGCCAGGGCATTGAAAATAGGTTGTGGATGGGTATTCCAGCATGACAACCCAAAACACACGGCCAAGGCAACAAAGAAGTGGCTCAAGAAGAAGCACATTAAGGTCCTGGAGTGGCCTAGCCAGTCTCCAGACCTTAATCCCATAGATAATCTGTGGAGGGAGCTGAAGGTTCGAGTTGCCAAACGTCAGCCTTGAAACCTTAATGACTTGGAGAAGATCTGCAAAGAGGAGTGGGACAAAATCCCTTCTGAGATGTGTGCAAACCTGGTGGCCAACTACAATAAACGTCTGACCTCTGTGTTTGCCAACAAGGGTTTTGCCACCAAGTACTAAGTCATGTTTTGCAGAGGAGTCAAATACTTATTTCCCTCATTAAAATGCAAATCAATTTATAACATTTTTACATGCATTTTTCTGGAATTTTTTGTTGTTATTCTGTCTCTCACTGTTCAAATAAACCTACCATTAAAATTATAGACTGATAATGTCTTTGTCAGTGGGCAAACGTACAAAATCAGCAGGGGATCAAATACTTTTTTCCCTCACTGTATATATAGTGTACTACACTGCTCAAAAAAATAAAGGGAACACTAAAATAACACATCCTAGATCTGAATGAATGAAATAATATTATTAAATACTTTTTTCTTTACATAGTTGAATGTGCTGACAACAAAATCACACAAAAATGATCAATGGAAATCAAATTTATCAACCCATGGAGGTCTGGATTTGGAGTCACCCTCAAAATTAAAGTGGAAAACCACACTACAGGCTGATCCAACTTTGATGTAATGTCCTTAAAACAAGTCAAAATGAGGCTCAGTAGTGTGTGTGGCCTCCACGTGCCTGTATGACCTCCCTACAACGCCTGGGCATGCTTCTGATGAGGTGGCGGATGGTCTCCTGAGGGATCTCCTCCCAGACCTGGACTTAAGCATCCGCCAACTCCTGGACAGTCTGTGGTGCAACGTGGCATTGGTGGATGGAGCGAGACATGATGTCCCAGATGTGCTCAATTGGATTCAGGTCTGGGGAACGGGCGGGCCAGTCCATAGCATCAATGCCTTCCTCTTGCAGGAACTGCTGACACAATCCAGCCACCTGAGGTCTAGCATTGTCTTGCATTAGGAGGAACCCAGGGCCAACCGCACCAGCATATGGTCTCACAAGGGGTCTGAGGATCTCATCTCGGTACCTAATGGCAGTCAGGCTACCTCTGGCGAGCACATAGAGGGCTGTGCGGCCCCCCAAAGAAATGCCACCCCACACCATGACTGACCCACCGCCAAACCGGTCATGCTGGAGGATGTTGCAGGCAGCAGAATGTTCTCCACGGCGTCTCCAGACTCTGTCACGTCTGTCACGTGCTCAGTGTGAACCTGCTTTCATCTGTGAAGAGCACAGGGCGCCAGTGGCGAATTTGCCAATCTTGATGTTCTCTGGCAAATGCCAAACGTCCTGCACGGTGTTGGGCTGTAAGCACAACCCCCACCTGTGGACGTCGGGCCCTCATACCACCCTCATGGAGTCTGTTTCTGACCGTTTGAGCAGACACATGCACATTTGTGGCCTGCTGGAGGTCATTTTGCAGGGCTCTGGCAGTGCTCCTCCTGCTCCTCCTTGCACAAAGGCGGAGGTAGCAGTCCTGCTGCTGGGTTGTTGCCCTCCTACGGCCTCCTCCACGTCTCCTGATGTACTGGCCTGTCTCCTGGTAGCGCCTCCATGCTCTGGACACTACGCTGACAGACACAGCAAACCTTCTTGCCACAGCTCGCATTGATGTGCCATCCTGGATGAGCTGCACTACCTGAGCCACTTGTGTGGGTTGTAGACTCCGTCTCATGCTACCACTAGAGTGAAAGCACCGCCAGCATTCAAAAGTGACCAAAACATCAGCCAGTAAGCATAGGAACTGAGAAGTGGTCTGTGGTCACCACCTGCAAAACCAGTCCTTTATTGGGGGTGTCTTGCTAATTGCCTATAATTTCCACCTGTTGTCTATTCCATTTGCACAACAGCATGTGAAATGTATTGTCAATCAGTGTTGCTTCCTAAGTGGACAGTTTGATTTCACAGAAGTGTGATTGACTTGGAGTTACATTGTGTTGTTTAAGTGTTCCCTTTATTTTTTTGAGCAGTGTACTTCTTACCAGGGCCCATAGGACTCGGGTCAAATGAATTGCACTATATAGGAAATATGCAGCATGATTTCATCTGTGCACAAGTGATACAAGGCGTCCTGACAGCCCGTAAGTGCTGGATTACGGATGGAGTGTTTAAACCTGATGAGGGGAACAGGTCGAATGAAGGGGGACCATTTACACCCCCTACGAGGGGTTCAGTTCGCTCCCCTCTCTCCTCATTAGGGCTGATAATGAGAGCTAATTATAACTAGCTCGGGGGGAAAACATCTCTCCCTTCCGTCACTCTTTCCCTTCCTGTTCTCCCCTTCGTCCCTCGCTCCCTCCACCCTGAGGGACTACCCTAGTACATCACATACAGGGGCTGTGTCCCAAATGGCAGCCTATTACCTATAGGGCCCACTACTTTTGACCGGAGCCCTATGTAAGGAATAGGGTGCCATTTGGGACACAGACAGAGACGTAGCACAACCAGCAGAGCCACAGGTACAGCGTTCAGCCTGCGCTTGTTTACGATGTTGTGTTGTTTGTCAGGCCCATCCCTAAGGGAGACGAGAGGAAGAGAGCCTGTCTGAGGGCTCTGTCGGACATCCAGGTCCAGCCAGGCTGTTACCTGCCCAGTAACCCAGAGGCCATAGTACTGGACATAGACTACAAGTCTGGGACTCCCATGCAGAGGTAGGCCTAAGCCACTATTCCTCAACCCTGGTACGAGAGAGCTAGGCTGGGTGCCAGTCTGTTTCTGCTCTCATGCGAACTCCTTATGGAATTGTCATGCCAAAAATGTGCAAGAGCAGAAACAGATCGGTGACCAGGCTACGAGAGAGCTGCAGGGTCCGCAGGCCTAGACTTTTACCATGAATTAACAATTAATAATGAAGCTACTGTAATGAATTCATACTAAGTTATTTTAAGTAATTCATATTCCATCACAATATTGTGTTGATCCCTGTGTGTCTCTTTAGTGCTGCCAAAGCTCCTTACCTGGCCAAGTTCAAAGTCAAGAGGTGTGGAGTCAGTGAGCTGGAGAAAGAAGGTGCTTTCTCACTAAATGGAATAGTCTCAACCCAGTGCCCTCTTTTTTCCTTACCTTTTACTACCACTGATCTGAAAAGAACATGACAGATGGAAGCTATACTATGTAAACCTATCCAGTCCTTTCACTCATCCGTGTTAATTAAAGAAAGGAAGGCATTTTATTGTTTTGAGATAATTGTTCCAATATTTATATGTTGCTAATGCTACTAGAAATATCCTCAACAAGGATTTAAAAAATAAATACTAATCTAATTTCCCCCTCCTCCCCTTTTCTCCCTCTCTCCCCCTGCCAGGTCTGCAGTGTAGGTCAGACTCTCTGGACGAGGCTGACAGTGAGGAGGAGGTCCAGAGGATCTGCTGGCAGGCAGCCATCTTTAAAGTGGGCGACGACTGCAGACAGGTCTCTACACACACACTCTCTCTTTCGACCTACACTACCGGTCAAAAGTTTTAGAACACCTACTCATTCAAGGGTTTTTCTTGATTTTGACTATTTTCTACATTGTAGAATAATAGTGAAGACATCAGAACTATGAAATAACACATATGGAATCATGTAGTAACCAAAAAAGTGTTGAACAAATCAAAATATATTTTATATTTTAGATTCTTCAAATAGCCACCCTTTGCCTTGATGACAGCTTTGCACACTCTTGGCATTCTCTCAACCAGCTTCATGAGGCAGTCACCTGGAATGCTTTTAAATTAACAGGTGTGCCTTCTTAAAAGTTAATTTGTGGAATTTGTTTCCTTCTTATTGCGTTTGAGCCAATCAGTTGTGTTGTGACAAGGTAGGGGGGTATACAGAAGATAGCACTATTTGGTAAAATACCAAGTCCATATTATGGCAAGAACGGCTCAAATAAGCAAAGAGAAACAACAGTCCATTACTTTAAGATATGGTCAGTCAATACGCCAAATTTCAAGAACTTTGAAAGTTTCTTCAAGTGCAGTCGCAAAAACCATCAAGCGCTTTGATGAAACTGGCTCTCATGAGGACCGCCACAGGAATGGAAGACCCAGAGTTACCTCTGCTGCAGAGGATAAGTTCATTAGAGTTACCAGCCTCAGAAATTGCAGCCCAAATAAATGCTTTACAGAGTTCAAGTAACAGACACATCTCAACATCAACTGTTCAGAGGGGACTGTGTGAATCAGGCCTTCAGGGTCGAATTGCTGCAAAGAAACCACTACTAAAGGACACCAATAAGAAGAGGAGACTTGCTTGGGCCGAGAAACACGAGCAATGGACATTAGACCGGTGGAAATTTGTGCTTTGGTCTGGCGTCCAAATTTGACAGTTTTGGTTCCAACCGCCGTGTCTTTGTGAGACGCGGTGTGGGTGAACGGATGATCTCCGCATGTGTATTTCCCACCGTAAAGCATGGAGGAGGAGGTTTTATGGTGTGGGGGTGCTTTTCTGGTGAGATTGTCTTTGATTTATTTAGAATTCAAGGCACACTTAACCAGCATGGCTACTGCAGCATTCTGCAGCGATACGCGATCTGGTTTGGGCTTAGTGGGACTATCATTTGTTTTTCAACAATTCAATGACCCAACACAAGGGCTATTTTTCCAAGAAGTAGAGTGATGGAGTGCTGCATCAGATGGCCTGGCCTCCACAATCACCCGACCTCAATCCAATTGAGATGGTTTGGGATGAGTTGGACCGCAGAGTGTAGGAAAAGCAGCCAACAAATGCTCAGCATATGTGGGAACTCCTTCAAGACTGTTGGAAAAGCATTCCAGGTGAAGCTGGTTGAGAGAATGCCAAGAGTGTGCAAAGCTGTCATCAAGGCAAAGGGTGGCTATTTGAAGAATCTCAAATATAAAATATATTTTGATTTGTTTAACACTTTTTTTTGGTTACTACATGATTCCATATGTGTTATTTCATAGTTTTGATGTCTTCACTATTATTCTACAATGTAGAAAATAGTAAAAATAAAGAAAAACCCTTGAATGAGTAGGCATTCTAAATCTTTTGACCAGTAGTGTATTTCAATATCTGTGTTCATCTTCTCTTGATGTCTTCTCTCTCTCTCCCATTTTCTTCACTGTCCACTATCTGTATCTTTCACACTCTGTTTCTTCTTCTCTCCTCCTGTTTACGCTTTCTGTCCCTTTCTCTCTGCCCTTTTCTCTCTCTCTCTCTCTCTCTCTCTCTCTCTCTCTCTCTCTCTCTCTCTCTCTCTCTCTCTCGCTCGCTCGCTCGCTCTCTCTCGCTCTCTCTCGCTCTCTCTCTCTCTCTCTCGCTCTCTCTCTCGCTCTCTCTCTCTCTCTCTCTCTCTCTCTCTCTCTCCCTCTCCCTCTCCCTCTCTCTATTTAATAGCTGTTAATTGATGTGAGTAAAATTATATATCTTTCTATATCTGTGTAGGACATGCTGGCTCTGCAGATCATCGGTCTGTTCAAGAACATCTTTCAGCTGGTGGGACTGGACCTGTTTGTTTTCCCCTACAGAGTGGTGGCTACCGCCCCCGGGGTAGGTTACCTACCCCCTCTCCTTCTACACCTTACACCCTACTACCACTTATCCTCTACCTGTTTTATGTTCCCCTCTTTAGATGGTCCTTCACATACGATATATGTCAGATTTACAATGAGAAAAAGGACACATTTGAAAGATCTATCTGCGCAAACACCTTTGAACTTGGTTTTATAAGGTTCTATCTGCAATCCAATCACACATTGCTGGGTTTCCAATCAAATGATTTGCATGTAAGGTGATGTACTCATTGAGTAATGAAAGAGGAAGACATCACAAAACATATTTGATAGCTGGGACTTGAATAATACTGCATACAGTGCCTTCAGAAAGTAATCATACCCCTTTACTTATTCCACATTTTGTTGTGTTACAACCTAAATTCAAAATTGATTACATATTTTTTTTATCTCACCCATCTACACACAATACCCCATAATGACCAAGTGAAAACATGTTTGTAGATTTTTTTGCTAATTTATTGAAAATGAAATACAAAAATATCTCATTTACATAAGCATTCACAGCTCTGAGTCAGTACTTTCTAGAAGCACCTTTGGGAATGATTACAGCTGTGAGTGTTTCTGGTCTCTAAGAGCTTTCCACACCTGGATTGTGCAACATTTGCCCATTATTATTTTCAAAATTCTTCAAGCTCAGTCAAATTGGTTGTTGATCATTGCCAGACAACCATTTTCAGGTCTTGCCATAGATTGGTAAGCAATTCCAGTGTAGATTTGGCCTTGTGTTTTAGGTTATTGTCCTGCTGAAAGGTGAATTTATCTCCCAGTGTCTGGTGGAAAGCAGACTGAACCAGGTTTTCCTCTAGGATTTTGCCTGTGCTTAGGTCAATTCTGTTTATTTTTTTTAAATAAAAAACTCCCCAGTCCTTAACGTTGAAAAGCATATCCATAACATGATGCAGCCACCACTATGCTTGAAAATATGGAGAGTGGTACTCAGTAATGTGTTGTATTGGATTAGCCCCAAACATAACACTTTGTATTCAGGACAAAAAGTTAATTACTTTGCCACATTTTTTGCAATAATACTTTAGTGCTTTAGCAATGTAGATAATTATCCATAGGATATAGTGCAGGGTTCCCCAACTGGCGGGCCGAATTTGGCCTGCAGGTGGTTTTATTTGGCCCCCCAAGTTTTCTGAGCAAAAAATATATAATTTAAACGCAACATGTAACAATTTCAAAGATTTTACTGAGTTACAGTTCATATAAGGAAATCAGTCAATTTAAATAAATAAATTAGGCCCTAATCTATGGATTTCACATGACTGGGAATACAGATATGCATCCCTTGGTCACAGATTCCTTTAAAAAAGGTAGGGGCGTGGATCAGAAAACCAGTCAGTATCTGGTGTGACCACCATTTGCCTCATGCAGTGCAACACATCTCCTTCGCATAGAGTTGATCAGACTGTTGATTGTGGCTTGTGGAATGTTGTTCCACTCCTCTTCAATGGCTGTGCGAAGTTACTGGATATTGGCGGGAACTGGAACACGCTGACGTACATGTCGATCCAGAGCATCCCAAACATGCTCAATGGGTGACATGTCTGGTGAGTATGCAGGCCATGGAAGAACTGGGACATTTTCAGCTTCCAGGAATTGTGTACAGATCCTTGCAACATAGGGATGTGCATTATCATACTAAAACATGAGGCGATGGCAGTGGATGAATGGCACGACAATTGGCCATCAGGATCTCGTCACGGTATCTCTGTGCATTTGAATTGCCATCGATAAAATGCAACTGTGTTTGTTGTCCGTAGCTTATGCCTGCCCATACCATAACCCCACTGCCACCATGGGGTACTCTGTTCACAACGTTGACGTCAGCAAACCGCTCGCCCACACGACGCTATACACACTGTCTGCCTTCTTTCCGGTACAGTTGAAACTGGGATTCATCCGTGAAGAGCACACTTCTCCACCATACAAGTGGCCATCGAAGGTGAGCATTTGCCCACTGAAGTTGGTTACGACGCCGAACTGCAGTTAGGTCAAGACCCTGGTGAGGTCAATGAGCTTCCTTGAGATGGTTTCTGACAGTTTGTGCAGAAATTATTTGGTTGTGCAAACCCACATTCATCAGCTGTCCGGGTGGCTGGTCTCAGACGATCGCGCAGGTGTAGAAGCCAGATGTGGAAGTCCTGGGCTACTGCAGTCAGCATGCCAGTTGCACGCTCCCTCAAAACTTGAGACATCTGTGGCATTGTTGTGTGACAAAACTGCACATTTTAGAGTGGCCTTTTATTGTCCCCAGCACTAGGTGCACCGCTGTAATCAGCTTCTTGATATGCTAGACCTGTCAGGTGGATGGATTATATTGGCAAAGGAGAAATGCTCACTAACAGGGATATAAAGAAATTTCAGCACACAATTTGAGAGAAATACGTTTTTTCTGTGCGTATGGAACTTTTCTGGGATCTTTTATTTCAGCTCATGAAACATGGGACCAACTCTTTACATGTTGCATTTATATTTTGTTCAGTGCATTTATATATACAGTACCAGTCAAAAGTTTGGACACACCTACTCATTTAAGGGTTTTTCTTTATTTTTACTATTTTCTACATTGTAGAATAATAGTGAAGACATCAAAACTATGAAATAATACATATGGAATCATGTAGTAACCAAAAAGGTGTTTAACAAATTAAAATATATTTTAGATTCTTCAAACAGGACAATGACCCAAAACACACCTCCAGGCTATTTGACCAAGAAGGAGAGTGATGGAGTGATGCATCAGATGACCTGGCCTCCACAATCACCCGACCTCAATCCAATTGAGATGGTTTGGGATGAGTTGGACCGCAGAGTGTAGGAAAAGCAGCCAACAAATGCTCAGCATATGTGGGAACTCCTTCAAGACTTTTGGAAAAGCTTTCCAGGTGAAGCTGGTTGAGAGAATGCCAAGAGTGTGCAAAGCTGTCATCAAGGCAAATATTCTATTTGAAGAATCTCAAAAATAAAATATATTTTGATTTGTTTAACACTTTTTTGGTTACTAATTTACATGATTCCATATGTGTTATTTCATAGTTTTGATGTCTTCACTATTATTCTACAATGTATAAAATAGTACAAATAAAGAAAAACCTTTGAATGAGTAGGTGTGTCCACATTTTTGACTGGTACTATATATATATATATATAATTATTATTATTATTATTATATATGTATATATTATCTTTTTGGGCTTGTTGCGGTCAATTTACAAATTATTTGTAAATACATTTCGGCCCCCCAACCATCCGCTCAAGAAAAAATCGAACCGCGGCTGAATACGTTGATGATCCCTGATATAGTGCATTTGTCATTTCAGCGAACTATTGCTTTAACAAATGTATGATGAACATGAATTTATGTATTTGATGATGTGGTTTGAAGGAAGGAAGTGTATTCTCTTAATTTGATAATTAAATGGCTTTACTTTTCTATAAAAAATAATCTTATCATTCAGTGCCAGATAGAACCTTGTTACTGAACACAGGTTGGCATTTCAGAATTATAAGGTTTTAAATGTGATGATGCCCCCGTAAAAAAAAAATAAAATATATATATATATATATATATATATATATATATATATATATATATATATATATATATTCTGCACTTTAGGTACCTTTTTAAGCTGAGGACTGTAATGGATTATGAAAGAAGAATTCACTACAAAACATTTCTGAGATCTGGGATGTGAAAACTTTTATGCTTAATATCTCAGAACTATGCTGTGTGCAGATATAACCTTATAATTCCAAGGTCATTGTTGTATGTGACTGTCGTTGGTTTGCAGCAAAATACATTGGGATGGTAAATATATCTTCTCTCTCTCTCTCTCTTTCTCCCTCTCTCTGTGTCTCTCTCCATCTCGCTGTCTTTTTCTCTTCTCTCTCTCTCTCTCTCTCTCTCTCTCTCTCTCTCTCTCTCTCTCTCTCTCTCTCTCTCTCTCTCTCTCTCTCTCTCTCTCTCTCTCTCTCTCTATTTCTATTTCTCTATTTCTATTATACTCCCTTCTGGACTGTTCTCTCCTGTCTCAGTGCGGTGTGATTGAGTGTATTCCAGACTGTAAGTCCCGCGACCAGCTGGGAAGACAGACAGACTTTGGGATGTACGACTACTTCAGGAACCAGTACGGAGACGAGTCCACTCTGGCATTCCAGAAGGTAAAGGCTGTATTCCGATTCTCTACCCTTCTACAGAAGTACTTGTGCACTCCTCCTCATGCATTTAAAAGCACTGGATTGGTGCAAGCCTGGCTGGAGGGAGTTTCCACCATACTCCTCACCCCAGTCCATTCCTTTTTAATCCACAAGGGGGAGTGTACAAGTGCACACTTCGGGACAAGGATAGAGAATTGGAATATGTGCCACAGTCTCAACTCACATTGAACAGCACACAAACTGTGATACTATACCTCTCCAACCTCATGTTATTCAGAGATCTGAAGGTAGAAGGTATATTTATGTATCTCCTCTCTCTGTAGGCGCGGTACAACTTCATCCGCAGTATGGCAGCCTACAGCCTGTTGCTCTTCCTACTCCAGCTCAAAGACCGACACAACGGCAACATCATGCTGGACAGCCATGGACACCTCATCCACATTGGTGTGTGTGTGTGTGCACGTGTGTGCGTGCATGCATTTCCTCTCATGCATTTCCTCTTTATCTTTGAGTTCCTTAGTGGGTAACCGCATGTGTGTTTCCTCAGACTTTGGCTTCATGTTTGAGAGTTCTCCGGGCGGTAACCTGGGCTGGGAGCCGGACATCAAGCTGACCGATGAGATGGTGATGATCATGGGAGGCAAGATGGAGGCCACGCCCTTCAAGTGGTTCATGGAGATGTGTGTGAGGGGATACCTTGCTGTCAGGTGAGTGTGTGTGTGTGTGTTTGTGTCTGCATCTTTGTGTGTGTACAATGATTACGCATTGTCAAACTATCACATACTGTTAACTGTTAGTAACAGTTAGTAAATATTGCCATAAAGACTTATTTATGCCTCACATACATACGTACGCACGCAATACAAGAATTACAAGTAGCTGGGCAAAATGGCGTTGTGTAGCAAGTATGCAGGATCGCCATTTCGCGTAGCGTTCTTGCATTGCATATGTAAAGTAGAAATTAGGCTTAAGTCCCTGAGGTGGTGATGTCTTATTATTATGGTCTGTCTTTTAGGCCCTACATGGATGCTGTGGTTTCCTTGGTAACTCTGATGCTGGACACTGGCCTGCCCTGCTTCAGAGGACAGACTATCAAACTGCTCAAGTGAGTCGTGTGTACATGTACGTACTGTACATGTGTGTTTTGTGATGTCGAGAGGGATAGCAACTACTTGTGTGTGTATGTGTACGTGTGACAGATACTGACTACCCTAGTTTTTCCCCTAGGCAGCGGTTCAATCCTTGTGTGAGTGAGAAAGAGGCTGCTGCATTTATCATCAAAATCATCCAGAGCTGCTTCCTCAGCAGCAGGTCAGTTTAACACATTCTCCTTTATGTTGGTGACTGTGTATCAAACTCAGACTTGGGTTTCAAATACTTAAAAAATCGATTCAAATACATTCTGTGCCTGTTTTGAGATTGCCTGGCTTAATAAACCAATATCAAAGTCCCAAAACGGCAAACCCCACCCATCTGGCTCTTCAGGTAAACACTGAAAGTATTTTAATCGATTTTTCAAGTAGTTGAAACCCAGGTCTGATCAAACCTTATGCTTAACTCAAGTCTGCCATTACATGAACAAGATTATCTTTTATACCAAATATTTCACATTCTTAAACAGCTGTTTTCTTGTCTTGTTTTTCAGGAGCAAAACCTACGATATGCTCCAGTACTACCAAAATCAGATCCCATACTAAGCTTGTGTGCCTAAGTGTGTGAGTGTGTAGTAAGTGCATTGTTGGGTGTGTTGTATTTTAGTGTCAGTCGGTAGATGTTGGTGACTGTGTGTGTTTTTTGTTGTTGTTGGTTGCTAGATGTTGGCGATTGTGGGTGTGTCTTGCTTCTCATTCACCCAAATCCTCCACCCCTTCTCTTTTCTCCTACCTTCATTTTCATCCCCCTGTTTTCCTGTGTTGCTGAAATCTTGATTTCTTTGCACATGTAGAGAAAACGGTTTACTGTAATGACCTGCACATTTAGAGAATGAACATTTAAAAAAGTTTGTGTCCATTTTTTAAGATTTATAATATTTCTTTATTTGCTTCATTCTGAAACTCTTGATTTCTCTCTGGGTTTGACAATATGTATGTTTAAAGATAATTGGTGCTTCTTGTTTAATGGACCAATCAGAGTTCTGGAATCTGTGGACATGCTACTATTGGACTGCTTGTATGATGAAACACTAAGGGGTAACCTTATGGGGTGGGGGGGGGGGGGCATACACACATTTGCCTTCTTTTAGTTATAGACAAGGTTAAGGAATGGGTAAAGTTTAGGGGTTTGGGGCTCGGGGCTCGGGTCAGGATGGGGTTAGCTGTATATGTACAAAAACAGCTTTATGCTGGCAAGCCATATAATTGTAATGGAAAAGGGTGTGCCAATGTATGTTGTGCCCTGCAAATCTTCAGGGGTGACACCGCTGCACTCAAAGTTCATATATGATCGACCGCCTCGATTCGGTCTTATGTAGCAAAATTTGAAATGGTGTTTTTTACATTGGATAAAAGTAGAGGCTCAAAGCTAGAAAGTGGTATATATCATACACTGCAGTTGAGGAACAATGGGAAAGTAATTCTGCTTTGAAAGTTGAACTTGTAACCCCACTTTTGAGAAAATGGCCCTTGAATGTTTTGGTTCACCTACTGGAGAGCTCTTCTTTGTCTACACCCATTCAACATCGTTCACACCGTCTTAAGCCTTAGTCCCACCCATCTCTTTAAGGATTCACATGTGAGGCCATGTGGTAAACACATGCTATATCAAATAAAATCTAAGTTTATTTGTCACATGCACAGGATACAGAAGGTGTAAATGGTACAGTGATAGTACTTACATAGTAACAATATCAAAAACAGAAAGTGTCCAGATAAAAATATGATATCAATATTTTATCGTTATTAGATGACGCTTACCCGAGACTCTTGTCTAAATTGATGGGTCAAGTTAACTAGCTAACATTAGGCTATAACTAGCAATGCAAATGGATTTCTGATTTGAATAATATTACTACACAGATCATACACGTAACGTTAGCTAGCGAGCCAGCAAGCTAACGTTTGCTAGCTAACTAACATTATGCTTTAACTTGCAATAAAAATGACTTTCTGACTAAATTAGAAAAGTATATCTGGAAAATGTAGCTAGACTCTTACCTGTATACATGGATGAACGCTTCACAGTAGACTGGAACCATTTAACTCCGTTTTGTTTGTAGCTACATCTTGTTTGGCCAGCTTTGTATCAAGTCACTCCGGTTCACACTGACCGTGGCGTGTGCAGAAAGTAGCCCATCACTTTTTCCTACTGATCTGTTGATAGCGCCTGCCAAATTCAGGGCATCAATGTTGTTGAGAAAAGTAGCAAAACTTTTGTAGTTCTCGATGGCTAATCTTTCAAAAACAGTGCGGTAGAAAGGACTGTCAACACATACTGAACAGCTCACGTTATAGACAGAAGCGCGCTACATGGCAGACAAATTCAAACTTATCTCCCTGCATGTCCAGCCCATACATTATCTCAGCCAATCATGGCTAGTGGGAAGGTTCCTGTCTTTTTCCATGGCTAAACCAACTAGGCTCGTAATTTAACAATTTGATTCGTATTTATGGATGGAATACAAGTTTGTTATTAAGGCACATGAAAGTTCACATGTTCCAGAAGGCATTTCTGCCCAAAAAAATGCATTTTGATAAAAAATTAAATGTTTACGTTCAAATGCTGCTCCTGTGAAGTAGTGACGGGCAACATACACCTAGTTTCCTGAAACGAGTCACATATGATTTATTGTGAACCTTCCAGCAAGTCTTCTGTGTCAAAGTCATGGTGAGCAAATGCACCTTGTGCTAATAAAAGTAAAAGCTTAATCCATGTCTGCAGGGTTAGACACAGACTTTGTTTAAAGTTACTGATTGTAATGATTCTGCTTTTCTTTGTGCTTTATATTTACATCCGTGATCCATTTTCTGTCTCCTTTTCTATTTTCATGCCTTTTGAATGTGAATGTCTAGGATATGAAATCGAATAAAGATATTTTAAATTAAAGGACTGTTTACTTGTCATTCATGTTAATTTTATATAATTAATTTACTTGCAGTATGGTTTTGTTAATTTGGTAGGCCACAACATAATTTTAAAACTGCTTTAGATCTCTGCCAAAATTAAACATGAGATTTCTCTATCAGAGTTGCTTTTGCATGTATTCACCAGCAGGGAGAAAAGTACCATGTACAGTGCAATCGGAAAGTATTCAGACCCCTTGACTTTTTCCACATTTTGTTACGTTACAGCCTTATTCTAAAATTGATTTTAAAAAATCCTCATCAATCTACACACAATACCACATAATGACAAAGCAAAAACAGGTTGTTATATATTTTTCCACATTTATTAAAAATGAAAAACGGAAATATCAAATGTACATAATTATTCAGACCTTTTACTCAATACTTTGTTGAAGCATCTTTGGCAGCGATTACAGCCTTGCGTCTTCTTGGGGATGACACTACAAGCTAGGCACACCTGTATTTGGGGAGTTTCTCCCATTCTTCTCTGCAGATCCTCTCAAGCTCTGTCAGGTTGGATGGGGATGGGGAGTGTCGCTTCACAGCTATTTTCAGGTTTCTCCAGAGATGTTTGATTGGGTTCAAGTCCGGGCTCTGGCTGGGCCACTCAAGGACATTCAGAGACTTGTCTTGAAGCCACTCCTGCATTGTCTTGACTGTGTGCTTGGGGGAATTGTCCTGTTGGAAGGTGACCTTCAACCCAGTCTGAGGTCCTGAGCACTTTGGAGCAGGTTTTCATCAAGGATCTCTCTCTACTTTGCTCTATTAATCTTTCCTTCGATCCTGACTAGTCTCCCAGTCCCTGCCGCTGAAAATCATCCCCACAGCATGATGCTGCCACCACCATGATTCACCGTAGGGATGGTGCCAGTTTTCCTCCAGATGTGACGCTTGGCATTCAGGCCAAAGAGTTCAATCTTGGTTTCATCAGACCAGAGAATCTTGTTTATCATGGTCTGAGAGTCTTTAGGTGCCTTTTGGCAAACTCCAAGCGGGCTGCCATGTGCCTTTTACTGAGGAGTGGCTTCCGTCTGGCCACTCTACCATAAAGACCTAATTGGTGGAGTGCTGCAGAGATGGATGTCCTTCTAGAAGTTTCTCCCATCTCCACAGAGGAACTCTGGAGCTCTGTGAGAGTGACCGTCTGGTTCTTGGCCACCTCCCTGACCAAGGCGCTTCTCCCCCGATTGCTAGGTTTGGCCGGGCGGCCAGCTCTAGGAAGAGTCTTGGTGGTTCCAAACTTCTTCCATTTAAGAATGATGGAGGCCACTATGTTCTTGGGGACCTTCAATGCTGAAGACATTTTTTGGTACCCTTCCCCACATCTGTGCCTTGACACAATCATGTCTTGGAGCTCTACGGACAATTTCTTCGACCTCATGGCTTGGTTTTTACTCTGACATGCACTGTCAACTGTGGGACCTTATATAGACAGGTGTGTGCCTTTCCAAATCATGTCCAATCAATTGAATTTACCACAGGTGGACTCCAAGTTGTAGAAACATCACAAGGATAATCAATGGAAACAGAATGCACCTGAGCTCAATTTCGAGTCTCGTAGCAAAGGGTCTGAATACTTATGTAAATATGGTATTTCTGTTTAACATTTTTTATAAATTTGCAAAAATTTATACAAAACTAAGGACAAACCTGTTTTTGCTTTGTCATTATGGTGTATTGTGTGTAGATTGATGAGGAAAATGTTTTCTTTAATCAATTTTAGAATAAGGCTGTAACATAATATAATGTGGAAAAGGGAAAGGGGTCTGAATACTTTCAGAATGCACTGTATGTAAAGTGTATGAATAATGTATGTAACAAAATATCTGTAAAAAAAAATATGAAAACGTAAAATGTACTTTTGTCCTCCGAAGAGGGGGGTGGATGGGCCAATAAAATAAATACAAATTAAGAGTATGTAAATTGGGTTAGGGTGGTGAGTTTCCCCTTACACTGTAAAGCGCTTTGGGTGTCTAGAAAAGTCCAATCAATTATTATTATTAAATGTTTTGCCTTCCATAGCTTGAAGACCATGCCTTTGTACAGAGACGGAAACTGGTACAAAATACCAAAAAGGTGGACTGCAAGGCAATGTTAAGTTAAATAAATGACTAGAGTAAGTGGCTAGGTGCCAAATAAAGTAACATGTTTGAAGTTGATCTTAAATCAGCCAAAGATCTGCCGATTTTACATTTGGACATTTCTGTGAACATTTCTGTGAAACCGTGTACACTAATAATACAAAAGTATGTGGACACCCCTTCAAATTAGTGGATTCAGCTATTTCAGCCACACCCGTTGCTGACAGGTGTATAAAATCGAGCTCACCACCATGCAATCTCCATTGTGTGCTCGATTATATGCACCTGTCAGCAACGGATGTTGCTGAAATAGCCGAATCCACTCATTTGAAGGGGTGTCCACATACAATTGAAGATGGAAGTTTACATACAGTCATGGTGAAAATGTTTGAGAATGACACAAGTATTGGTCTTCACAAAGTTTGCTGCTTCAGTGTTTTTAGATATTTTTGTCAGATGTTACTATGGTATACTGAAGTATAATTACAAGCATTCCATAAGTGTCAAAGGCTTTTATTGACAATTACATTCAGTTTATGCAAAGAGTCAATA